CCCTCAGCTCTGGCACCTGGAGAAAAACCCTGAGGCAGAGCCTTGGGGAACCCGTGGCCACCAAAGGGTTGACCATCATGGACTCGCTGTCCCTGTCTAGAGCCTGCAGCTTAAAGGTGAGACACCAGCAGGTGAGCTTCTCAAAGGCTCCATGTCCAAAGCTACTTCTCCAAACCCTCTCCCTCCTGGGCACTCCACTCGGGCCTACCTGGCAAAGGATGTCTTTAATGTACCCTCCACACAGCTCATGGCTTCTCAGGTCAAAGTAGTTCATGATGTCCCAGTACCGGGCAGCGATGCGGTGGTCCTTGTGCTGGTCACAGCAGCCGAAGGACTGGTAGTCAGAACAAAACTCAAGATGCTGGGAGGGCCGGAAAGGGGGCCCATAATCCAGGCACTGGGGATGTCCCAGCAGCAAACCCACCTGACCCAACAAGAATGCAAGGTAGAGGCAGAAAATGCCAGGAAAGAGCCAGGGGGACCAGCAACTCAGACCCCCATACCAGCTAGGAGGGGACTTGCTCAGCATGTTGGCCTTGGCACACTCTGGGGGTGGCTGTGTTTGCTCAGAATGTCTACCCTGCTCGGCCCAAGTTCCCTCCTCTTCTTCCCCTCCCCATCCTTCCTTCTCTTCCCTTCCCTGCCCCCCCATCCCAGTCCCTCAGCTCCGCCCTAAGTTCCCTGAGGTGGTTTCTGAGTAGTGTCTGTGCTATGGGAAGGTGGCCATCTCAGTCCCATCTAAACACAAAGCTGGTGCCAAGTCTCAAGGCCAGCACCCAGTCCCTGGGGCTGCTGGGCCAAAAGGAAGCAGTGGTGTCAGTAGAAGGGGTGCTGTGATCCTCGGCACTGTGCAGAATTCCTGCCATATTGCGGGAGCAGGGAGGTCAAGAAGTTCCCACTTGTTTACTGTCTTTTCACAGGCTGAGCCGCACACAGCACAACACACCCCAGAGGACAGGCTTTGGAAGGCAAGCATCTAGCATTCCTGCAGTGATGAGGGCAACCACAAGGAGGCAATGTGGAGCTAAGAAAATGAAAGGGGAGCATGATGGGAGGCCAGGTGTGCTATCCAGTGTGTATTTGGAGAAGAGAGGAACGTCTGGTGAATTCCAAGGCGCAGTGCAAGGAGAGGGGAGAGGAGAAAGTGCAGGAGAGGCAGGAAGGTCTTAGTTCATACTGCTGTCATTCATTCTGCAGACTCTGCTCCTCAGATTGTTGGTGCATCCTTACCTGGTAGAAGGAACAGAAGGGAAACAAATATACTCCCTCCACCTCCTAAAGGTCACATGTGTATGTGTGTGTGTGAGTGAGTGTGTGTGTGTGTGTGTGTGTGTGCTGGAAATTGAACCCAGATCCCTCTCCACACCCATTGCACCCAGCCCACCCCCACCTACCCAGACCTGCCAGACCTGGACTTTGGTTTCCCTGGTGTCCAGGCTAATCCATCTGAACTTCTCTCCAGTTCAATGCTATCATCTCAACTAGCCACCTCTAGTGCTTTGGAATGCTCCCTGTATTGTAGTCCCTGGGAAAACACACAAACACAAACCACTGGACTTGTGTCCTTGCTTTTTGTGTATTGTTACAGCGTCTGGTTACTACTGCATGTCACCATTTATCACTGTGCTTTTGGCTTGGTATTTATCTTTTCCCCCTGCTTTCTCCCCATCCATAAGCCTCCCCTCATCCCTTCCCCCCCTTCCCAGTGGTGGGCTGTGGCTAGAGGGAGGAGCAATCTCTTGTGCCTAGCACCACGTAACCGATTGATAACTCACCAGTATTGGTTAAAAGGGAGTGACACCACCACCCAGGCCCAAATTCTTGGAGTCTCATGTTTCAGGTCCAGCCACAGGTCCCCATTTGCCAAATAATGAGACATGGTGAAGGCAGGGAAAGATTTATTACATGGTATGAATAGGCCTTGGAAAGAACTCTTATCAGTACATTCTCAGCAGGAAGAATTAGGAAAGAGAATGAGAAACATATACATAATTAAAACACCCACAGCTAGATCACAGGCATAGCCTGGTTGACCATGATCTTAGTCTTGGTTTCTGGGGGCCGTTCTGAGGACCTTCCCTTTTCACCACTTAAAAGGAGTCGGAGCAAATCATTCACTGTTGCTGGCAGGTAACAGGTGGCAGGTGGTAGGTGGTCTATCCTGGGCTTTTGTTTTCTTTGTAGCAGTTCTACTGTTTGACACAAGGTGTTTATTCCTGATCAACCCTGCCTTTCCTGGAGCCCAGAGGGGACTGTAAAGTCACTACAAGAAGGAATGGCTTCCATCAAAGGGCACGGGTACAAAGGGGAGGGGGCTGCCTGGGTGCCCAGCTTTTATCCTCCGTTTTCACAACTCATGGGTCCAGTGAAAGCAGCTTCTAAGTTGTCTCTTACTGGTGGGAAATTGATTTTGTATGATTCCAAATGACTGAGGATAGAGCCTTGGGCAGGAGAAGAAGAAGCAGAAAGGAATCTCACCACAGATCAGAGGTAGGGTTCAGGGGGAGTCCACACGGTGGGTGAACATCACAGCTCACATAAACTGTCCTCTCTCATTCCTCTGCTCAGAGTGATTCCTGGGAACCATCAGCCCTTCCTCTGTTCTCATCCTAGTTGGTTATTTCTGAGGGACTTCGAAGCTTCCCAGTTCCCCCTCACTTCCACCTGGAGGCGCTGCAGCCCAGGAAACCAGTCTTGGTCCTCAGGGAAAAGGGCATACAAAACCCTGTCTCAGACAAAACCGACCCCAACGCCACCAAGGGCCAAACACAAGAGTAAAGTCAGCCAGAAGAAATCTATGGAGAAGAGAGAATGCATGTCCAATTTCTGGGACCATCAAGACTCAGACCAGACTTGCAGCAGATTTCAGTTTTCCAAGAGAAACCCATTATTTTAGGCTTTTTAATGAATGCTCTCCCAACTTTTAGACATTCAGTCTCCAATCACAATTTTCAAACAGGGTGTAGGCCAATTGGATACGGCTGTGTCAGATGGCTTTAACTCAGGGCCTGGGTGCTATCCCTGAACCTCCTTGTGATCAAGGCTAGTGCTCTACCATTTGAACCACAGTACCACTTCCAGCTTTTTTTTAGTTGTTTATTGGAGATAAATGTCTTATGGGAACTTTTCTGCCCAAGCTGGCTTTGAACCATGATCCTCAGATCTCAGCCTCCTGAGATCTTAAATTGATTACTATACATAAAATATATTTGGGGAAAAAAGTGTATATATTTGGGGGCAACAGTTATGCATATTATTTACCTTTTTTTCTTAAAGAGCCAATATTTAAATTTTAAGTGTATTTTTTATGTAGCCCCAGCTGGTAGTTTACACCTATAATCTCAGCTACAAGGAAAGCATAGTAGGAGGATTGTGGTCTGAGTCCAATCCTGGGCAAAAGGCTGAGAACCTATCTGAAAAAAAAAAACCTAAAGCAAAAGGGATGGAGGCTTGGCTCAAGTGGTAGAGCATTTTTCTGGCAGGCATAAGGTCCTAATTTCAGAGGAGGAAGAAGAAGAGGAAAGAGGAGGAGGAGGAGGAGGAAGGGGGGGAGGAGGAGGGGGAGGAGGAGAAGATACAGTATTTGCTGATTGATTGATAGATAGATAGATAGATAGATAGATAGATAGATAGATAGATAGATAGATAGATGATAGATATTTCAAGCCAGGCAGTGGTGGCTCATGCCTGTAATCCTGTCTGAGATTTAGCTCTAAGCAAGCCCAGGCAGGAAAGTCCATGAGAGTCTTTATCTCCAATTAATCACCAAAGACGCTGGAAATAGAACTGTGGTTCAAATGGTAGAGTGCTAACCTTGAGCACAAAAGCCCAAGGACAGCACCAAGGCCCTAAGTTCAAGCCCAGGACAAGCACACACACACACACACACACACACACACACACACACACACACACACACACGACAGTATTTCAGAACTAGAGGCATGGCTCAAGTGGTAGTACAACAGCAAGGAGCAGAGGGATAGGGGAGCAGAGTAAGACCACAGGCCCTACGTTCAGGCTCCAGTACATACACAAACAGTATACAGCACTGCTGCTGGGCTTCAGGGTGAATGATCATTACTAGGCACTGATTGTGAAGCATGCACGTATCACAGGGGGGTCCTGGACATGGGTCCCTCTGATGCTAGGGCCAGAAGTGACTGGGACATAAGAGGGACATCACAGAGGGAGCCAAGTTCAAGGGGCCTCAGAGTGCTGTGCCCAGACTCACTCATCCTCTGTTCAAGACTTGTAAGGTAACTAGCCCTGATCAGCCCAGCTTCTCTTATCCATTCGCTCCCTTTCTCTCTCCTTCTCCCTCCCTCGTCCAGGAGCCTGTCAAATTCAGAGCTGAATCAAAACAATTGGTCCATAGCATAGGAGAGTCAAAGGGGGACAGAGTTATATTCTATGTTTATAAAAATCAGTATGACTTGCCGAGCACCAGTGGCTCACGCCTGTAATCCTAGCTACTTAGGAGGCTGAGATCTGAGGATCGCAGTTCAAAGCCAGCCCGGGCAGGAAAGTCCGTGAGACTCTTATCTCCAATAAACCATTAGAAAACCAGAAATGGAGCTGTGGCTCAAGCAGTAGAACACTCACCTTGAGTTGAAGAGCACAGGGACAGCACCCAAGCCCAGAGTTCAAGCCCCACGACTGACCAAAAAAAAAAAAAAAAATCAGTATGACTGGGATTGCAAAGCCTTTTCATTCAGGGTTGGCATCTATATGTTCCTGGTCTAGAGAAAGCTATTTCCTTTCAATACAGGCTTGTTCCTGAATTACCTATGTGACAAAACATCTCTGCTTAAGGAAGCCAGGTAAGAAAAGGTTTAATCTGTAAAGTCCTAGTACTATAAATAAGTATGTTTTATGTCTTATTTAAAAATTATGACTTGAGGAGAAAAGTAGGTTCACCTCTATCAAACCATTTACTGGGAAGGCAACTGCAAAAATGCACTTGAGTTGAGCCTGGGGTCAGGGCAGAGGTCTTGGCTATGGCAGTTTTCCTAGATGAGAGTCGTACCAAGGAAGCAGGTGATGTGTCAGTTTCCCTGTCACCTGTCAGTCTTGGGGGCACAGGTGAGGTGATCACTTCTGATGTGATCCATAAGCTCCCGAATCCAGTGTGTCTCACATGATCTGATGCATTTGTGGCTATCATTCTTTATCGATACAAATAAAGTACACTTAAGTTTGTGTTGCATGATGTGCTGGCAGATGGTGGTACTTGGGTGGACAAGTACCCTCCTGCTCCAGAAGTGCCATTCTGACTTGGCACTTCTATTCCACATAGAGGAATTCAGGTCCAAAGTGTTGCTTTATAAGATGATGTCACTTGAAGCTAAGCATAGCCTTGAAGCTTCTGTCATATATAACAGCATGGAGAAATGCTAAGCACACCTAGCTTTCTCCTCAGTGGCCCTCTTTCTTTAGGTAGAGAATAAGATTTATATTTCATCTGATTCCTAAACCAGATAAAGGGCAAGTTTAGGCCTAAGTGAATCATTAGGGGAAAGGGTGGGTGAGGACAGAAGAGAAATTCTAGGCATCGGCAAGAGGACAAAAGTCCTCCAGTTGTATGTGTTGACTTCTTGTTCTAGGAACCCTATCCCAAAGCAGCCATGACGTGGTATCCCAACAGACACAGCTTCCTAACTGCAGTGGGCTTCCTACTCCTGTGGCTCTTCATCACTTTGAAACTCTTTGACGAAATTGAGCATAGTCAAAACCTGGTGATTATTAAAGACCAAGTTGCAACGTGTACTGTAGTTTGCAAACTGGGAATGGAGGGAGGGTAGGAATGTAGAGGCCAGGAAGATCCACCCAATGCACTTTGGCTCTCTTTCTTTTACTTTTCTGCCTGAGAGAAGGAGGCTCTAGGGTGGATTGGAGTGTGGACTTGAACCCCTTAGTCCATAAAGAAGCTGCATTTATTTCTCATGTGTTTAAGGTAAGGGAGAGAATGAATACTGCTGGAACCCTGGGTCCCTTGGCCAATGGCCAGGCATCCTCAGACTGGCTTCACTTTGGGAAGAATAATTCAATCTTTTCCCCCTAGAGAAACTTATGGGATGACACTGGGGCATCAATTCTATTCTTCTGTGAAAAGAGGTGCATATTTTCCTTTTCTATCATCCCAGGAGGACCGCTATAACAGTAAGAAGAGCCTACGGCCACTGGAAGACTGGCACACCATCACCTTGAAATATTTAAGAAAAAACCAAAAGAGGAGAAAGAGTGAGTGCTAAGGAAGGGGAGGAGTGGAGTATCTCAGGGAAGTAGGGTAATATAGCTGGGAAAGAATGAAAAGAAAGGGAAAAGAAAAGGCAGAACTATGCCCAGCAGTATTTGAATCTGATGAACAGTTCTTTCCCCTTCCCCCAAGATGTTCACATGTCAGAAGTTTGAGGAAGAAAGGAAAAAATTGTTTGTTGTAGTAAGAAAATGAAATCCAAGTTAACCACATATTAAACACTTCTGAACACTTGTTAGTCTCACAGAACATAGTCATATTGGGTAAACAAAGAGCATGACTCACCTTACTTTATATAACTTAATATTTGGGGCTGCAATGGTGATTGACTCCCTGGACATAGAAGACTGTGTAGCTCCATGGCATCAAAATGTAAAAGGAAAAGTACTAAGTAAACCCTTTAAAAGGAAGAGCTGTGGTTGAAGTTGTTTATGTGCACGCTTAAGTAAGGGAACTCAAACAATAAATAAAATGTGTAACTAAAGAAAAAGAATCATTGAATTATTGAAGTGTAAAGAGTAATTAAGAAGGTGCAGACAGCCAGGCACCAGTGGCTGTAATCCTAGCTACTCAGGAGGCTGAGATCTGAGGATCACGGTTCAAAGCCAGCCCAGTCAGAGACTCTTATCTCCACTAAACCAACCAGAAAACCGGAAGTGGCTCAAGTGGTAGAACACTAGCCTTTAGCTGAGGGACAGTGCCCAGGCCCAGAGTTCAAGCCCCACAACCAATAAAGAAGAAGAGGAAGAAGAAGGAGGAGGAGGAGGAGGAGGAGGAGGAAGAAGAAGAAGAAGAAGAGGAGGAGGAGGAGGAGGAAGTGGAGGGAGGTGCAGACATTAGGTTCGATAGAGAACATTTGTATAAGAGGGTCTTGGAGTTGCATCATCCAACTCCCTTAGCTTTATGGATTTAGACCCAAACCCTGCAATAGAAGTACCTGCTCAAGATTATGCATCCAGTGACAGAATTGAGTAGAACTGTAGGCTCCTGTGCTGAGGGCACAACTCAGTGGTAGAACACTTGCCTAGTGTGCTTGCCAGGTTCAATTCCCCAGCACTGCAAAAACAAAAAAGCTTAGGCTCCTGATTTCTAGGTGAATCCCCTCTTAAGATCTTTCTTCAAAGGAAACCTTTTGGAAGGTGAGCTGAGTAGAAAAGAAAAAGAAGTATACCCACTACAATAATAGTGTTTATTGAGTACTTAAACTATGTGCTTCAAAGTTTAAGGTTCAAATACTCCAAGAAACCCACAAGGACTCAGCATCATGTAGCTAGTACTTCTCCAACTCTAATTTGCATACAATTCTCCTGATTTCATTAAAATGCTGGGGTTGGCTGAGAATGTGGCTTAGAGGTAGAGTGCTTGCATAACATGCATGAAGCCCTGGGTTCGATTCCTCAGTACCAAATAGAGAAAGCCAGAAGTGGTACTGTGGCTCAAGTGGTAGAATGCTAGAAGTGAGCAAAAGAAGCTCAGGGACAGGGCCCAGGCCATGAGTTCAAGCCATAGGGCTGGCAGGAAAAAAAATTCTGGGGTTGAGATTCTACACATCTAATAAGCTTGAAGTTGAGGATGATGTTGCTAAGTTATGGGGCATGCTTAAGAGAAGCAAGGATGCAAAAATCCCTTCAGCCAAAAAACAAATGAGAAATGGGAGAGGGTTGAGAGGGGGTCCCAAATAGCACCTCCCTCTCTATAATCCATTTGTCTAGAGAGTCTCTTTTGAAGCCCAAACTTGTAACCCTCCTGCCTTAGCTTCTTCCACAGTGCTAGAATGACAAGCCTCCTCCACCGTGCCAGAACCCTAGAACAATCCTCACCACTACTGCCCGCTGACAACTGTACCTGCTTTCCCCTCTTCTTAGCATGGCTGACAGTGGGGATCTCCTCGGTTTCACAACAAAATCAAGGCCACCTGTTGGACACCTTGGCTTCATTATATCGCACCTGTTCCCCAGCTGAGAAGAAACATCTCACAGTGCTGCTCCACCTAGCCGATGCCAACTTCACCTGGCTCCGACAAATGGTCTCCCACATTTCAAGAATCTACAGCTCACAGATCTTGGCAGGGAAGTTGCTAGTGATCCATGCTCCCCCTGACGCCTACCCCACTGTGGATGGCACCCAGAACGAGACCTCACAAGGGCAATTCTACTCCAAGCAGAACACAGACCATGCCTTCCTCATGAGCTTCGCCCAAAACCTCTCTCCTTACTTCCTGCTACTAGAGGACAACGTCTTTTGTGCCCCCAACTTTGTCACCCATATTTATTCAACAGTGGCCACCATGAAACCCAACCCATGGGTACTCTTGGAGTTCTCTAACATGGGACTCGTTGGCAAGCTTTTCCACGGCAGGGATCTTCCGTTCTTGGCCCAGTTCCTGCTCCTATTCCACAAGGAAAAACCCCTTGACAGGCTGATCCTTCACTTCCGTACCCTCCTGGGGCAGAAAACCCCTCTGCTCTACAGACCATTCCTCTTCTATTACAGGTTGTACCGTCACCCCTTTGGCGACAAAAATGGCATGAACATTCAGGAGAATCCTTACGGTCCTCACATCCTCCCTGCCGCTGTTTTCACAGACATGAAGGTTTCTGACGTTCATGTGCCCTGGGAGGCCTACACACTGGATGAGTCATTCTTTTGGACCTACAACGTTAGCACAGGGAACCACTTGACGGTGCTTTTGAACCATCCAGCAAACTTGAGAAGAGTGCAAGTGATAACAGGAGCCATCGTGGATGGAAAGTACGCCCTCCGGAAGGGACAGGTGGAGCTAGGCTACCACCCTGACGGAATGCCTCGGTCCTGCACCGACTTTGTCCTGCTGGGCCGTCTCCAGCAAGGGCTGATAGATCGGGAGATTCTTGGGGACAGTCTGGGGAAGCACGTGAGCTGTGTGAGGGTGGTGGCGAATGCTAACCAGCCTGGTGGTCTCATAATTAGACACATTTACCTCTGGAAGGAAAATGCCAATGAAAGAAAAAGGATCCTGAATGTTAATGATAAAGCAGTATGACAAAATTAAAAGTGCCAAGCCATTTTGTTCTAAGCTGTAAGAGTGAGTGGGGGGGGGGGGGGGAAGGCCTGTGAATGAAAGGTAGAAAGAGAAGAATCCATCTTTCTTTTGGTACCACTGAAACTCGTATTCCTCCCTTTTTCTATCTAAATGGATAACTCTTTAAGAAAGCTTTTGCTAGGCAAAAGCAGCTTAATCTAATTTGGGGAAGGATCTTGGTTAAGCCCAGAGATTTTACATTCCTGGGATGTTTCCTTCAGCTAAAATAGTGTATGTGCATGTGTGTATACTTTCGTGTTTGTTTGTTCACAGATAGAGATGAAGATGTAATATGGTGAAAGGACAAATGGGGGAATCCTTTTAGAGGGTTTGGGAGAACAAACTCAGGGCCTTGCACATGCTAGGCAAATGCTCCTCCACCAAGGTACATCCTCAGCCCATAGAGAGAGCAACAAGGTATATAAGACAAGGTAGCCTCCTGGGTGGTGTGATTTACAGGCATGAGCCACCTTTCCAATACAAAGTATATATAATATTTATACAGAATATATAGATATGCATACATGAGAAAGAGATTACATGAAACTGTATAGGTCCAGGGGATTGTTCAACCTTATCCTACCTAAAGTCAATGATTCCTGCTGCATTACCGCGTGCAACCAAAGGTGGCGCACCAGCAAGAAGCTCCCTCCAGCTGTGCAACGTGAGTTCTGAGAGTTCTGGAGTCACCATGAAGCTGCTAGCAGGGCTCAGCTCCTCCTCTGCTCATGATCTCTGTCATCACATCTGATTTCTGACCTTCCACCCTCAGATCAACCCTTCTGGGTGTATAGCCTTCCCTCACCCAGGTAGAAGACTAAGGTCATCTCGGACAGCTGTGGAGGCTCAGGTGATCTCTGTTACCAGCCACTGAACCCTGGCCAATTTGAATGTTAGCTCCTGTGGGAATGGGGACAGTGAAGGGGGAGTACAAGCCCCTTCTCAGGCTGGTCCAGTAGCTGTCTTCCCCAATGGGCCTTCTCTCTCTCTCTCTCTCTCTCTCTCTCTGTGTGTGTGTGTGTGTGCTAGTTACATCCTTTGTTCAAAGTAAATGCTTTGTATTCCCCTGGCTTGCCTTTTTTTTTGGTGGGGAGAGGGAGTATTTGTGCCCCTTGGTAGTCAGTTCCTGCTGAAAGACAATGGTAGGAAGTCCGTCTCTCCTGGATACCGAGGAGCCCACACAGCTGCTGGGTACCACCATGAGACTATAGACCCCTTGCCCTACCTCCTGAGACCCAGTAGTAACCCCTTTTTTTGTAACCCTTTTCCTTCCAGGTTTTTCATTCACCAGATTGCTGAGTTCCAAATCTGTACCAACCCCCTTGGAGGGAGGATCTCCAGGTCTCCTCTGTAAAACCCTGAAGCTCTCGGGGGTATGAGTAGGCATTTTGGTGACCGAGGTGCAGTGGGAAATACAAAGGCTCTGGTGCCTCTCAAACTGGAATTTCAACCCTGGCTCTATTTATTAGCTGGATGACCTTAAAATGGTATTTAACCTCTCTGAGCCAGTATCCCATACCTGTAAAACAAGGATTGCACCTACCACACCATGACTTGACACATGAATTCAAGACACTCAGGGGACCCTAGCACAAGTGTTAAGTCCTCAATGTTTGCCAAGCATGGCACCCTCCTAACACACACCTCTCCAAGGGAACCTCTTGAAAGGATCCACTACCTCAGGGTCATTGTTGCTCCCTGTGATGCCTCCTGAGGCTCTAGGGCAAATGCACACCTGGCCTGGGGATTTGGACTGCCCTGGATCTGAATGGGTCTGAATGGAGAGCCCCAGACAAGTCCAGGCAGGTTAGGTATCTCTATAGATGCCAGTCCTGCCCTAGGAGAGAGGCCCGTTTGTCTCCCTCACTGACAGGTCTGCAGGATTCTCCCCTTTTCTGGTTGGGCTACTGTAGGAATCCTGAGCATACAATGTTATGACCACAGGATTAAGAGATGGGACAGAGACAGAAGTCTGGATTTCTGGGGTTTTCCATGAGCAGTATCTCCCCCACTCAGGGCGGTAATGCCTGGTAGAGGAAGCCCAAGGGGTAGGGTGATGTGTTCTAGATGTGTGAAACCACTGCCCCTCTAGGATTCCAGATGTTCTTATTCATGAGATGTCTCCACAGGGTTGCTGTGGCAAACAAATGAGATTATAGCTTTAGTGGTAGAGCTCCACCATTAGCAACAATGCTCAGAGACAGTGCCTAGACCCTAAGTTCAAGCCCTAGGATCAGCACCAAAAATAAAAAAAATGCTGAGATTGAGTTTGGCTTTTGATGTGAGAGACTCCACACTCATATACCTACTGCTTTGGTTCCTTCTACCTGAATGGAAGAGTGCTGCCAAATTTCCCAAAATGCCATAATAATGTACACTTGACCTTGTCTGAAACACTGTTTTCTCACTTTCTATTGGTGCTCATTTGGATTCTGAGTGGGGAAGGAAACACCACCTCTCTAGTTAGTAAGCTGCTGCCACACTGTGCACAAGGCCCGCACTTAGTGGGGGCCCTTCCGTGCTAGAGATGCTAAAGAAAGAAGTTTGGATGATGTAGTTTAGTTAGTCCTCTCTTGGATTTTAGGCCTCCAGAGGAAGGAATGCTGGGAGGATCCGTGGCACCTGGTTATAGCGATTCCCTCTGGGATGGTAGGTCACTGAGAAGTGACCTGGCCCACCCATGGAAATCATGTCAAAAACTCCAATAAGTTCATTCTTAAGAGCCACAGAAATTCAAGCATTTTGGTGGGAAAAAAGTTTGTATTTTGAGTTATCAAGATTTCAGTGGAACCAAAGCTCTGAGTCTTGGTTTACTGAATATGGCTATATATTCAGTAAATGATAATTGTGTGTGTGTGTGTGTGTGTGTGTGTGTGTGTGTGTCTTTCCTTGAGCCAAGCACCCATGGCTCACGCTTGTACTCCTAGCTACTCAGAAGGCTGAGATCTGAGGATTCCTATTTGAAGCCAGCTCAGGTAATAAAGTCCATGAAACTCTTATCTCTAATAAAACTACTCAGAAAAAGCCAGAAGTGGCACTGTGGCTCAAGTGGTAGAGTGCTAGCCTTGAGCACAAAGAGGCTTAGAGACAGAGCCCCAGCCCTGAGTTCATGCCCCAGGACCAATAAGAAATAAAATAAAAAGTCTTTCATAAGAAGAAAGGAAAGGGGGAGAGGGGATAAGAGTGTGGGAGCTGGGGGAGGGAAGGGATAGTGGGACAATAACAAGGAAGGGAAGGGGTAACAATGATCCATAAGTAATGTTCTCATCGCCTTACTCATGCAACTGTAACCCCTCCATACAACATCTTAATAAAATAAAATTAAAAAAAAAAGAAATGAAGAAAGTTACCTCTCCAGATAAGATGACCTCTAAACACAGGTATAATTTGGCAAAGGTCTATATCCTTCGTATATTCTGATATATAGCCTAATAAACAATTAGGGCTGATTTTCCTTTGGGGTTTACAATCTGATGTTTGATGTCCAAGCTGTAGCGGGGAGGAACTAATAAAGAGAAATTACATCAAAATATGAAGGGAAGAAGGGCCACATTCATCTTCACACTAAACGTCGATATCAACCCAGAGCAAAGGCTCTCAAACATGCTATCTGAGATGCATCCAAAGTAATCCAAGTAGTGGGTTAACTTCTGTAACTTTTTTTTTTTGGTTGTGGGGCTTGAACTCTGGACCTAGGCACTCTTCCTAAACTCTTCACCTCAGAGCTAGCACTCTACCACTTGAGCCACAGCATCACTTCCAGTTTTCAAGTGGTTCATTGGAAATATGAGTATCACGGATTTTCTTTCCCTGCCTAGCTTTGAACTGTGGTCCTCCTAAGTAGCTAGGATTACAGGTGTGAGCCACCAGCACCCAGCAACTTCTGTAACTTTAACAAAGAAGAAATTACTGTGGATAATTAGGTAAGCCATGCAACCAAGCCCCTCCTGGGTACTTATATACTTTCTTGAATTAGAGAAACAGATGGCTTCAACGATCAGCGTGAGCATCTGTGGTCCTGTGTCACCACGGTGGATATTGCCCTGGTAGAGAAAGAAGGGAAGAAAGGGAGCCTTAGGTAGGAAAGAACCTAGGCAGAATGCCAAAGAGGAAGAAATATGGTACTGTAAAGTTGGGAGGAGTAGAAGGTAGGGCATGGATGCACCATGGAGTAGGCAAGAGGCACACTGAGGTGTGAGGGGAGCAGCCCTAGCCCTCTGCATGTCCTGGGACACATGATGATGCTCATACCTGTATTAGCACAGAGAAGAAGGCAGCACAACAGTCACACCCCGCCAAGGCTGGTTCTCGTGGGAGAGCTTTTATAGTTGGGGTGCAGCAGTTACTCATGGGAAACCTGTTCCAATGCTACTTAGCAACTGTTCTTATCATCTAGGCAATGCCAGCCAATGGGTCCAATCTCACCCTCTAGACAGACCAGAAACTTGATGTTGCTCACGTCCTTGGTGAAGTGCACATTCTCCAAGATGAACATTTCAGTCACCAGCCAGTGCTCTGCAGAAGACTGCCGGCAGGGTCGGCATGGCTGCCAGCAGCCAGCACTGGCTTCTTTCTCTTGGAAGGAAGGAAACACTGCAGAGGAAAAGATCACAGGAATGTCAAAGCTGAGCCAGCTCACACACGTTATCATGCTCATTCTACAGATGCTTCCCACTGCTCCCTGGCAGCTTTCTGTAATGGGGAAAAGGAGAGAAGCTGGCCATCTGAGTAGGGTATAGATGAGGATGTAGGCTGCCTCTTCTCATGCCTGCCCTGATGCTTCAGATATTGAAAGCAGCACTATGGCTGACAGTTTCCCCACTGCTCTTATCGGACTGCAGACCTACCTGACACACTGGTAACCATGCCTCCTCAGCCAGTGTGAATCTGTTCTGTCCTCATTTCAACATGGCAGTCCCACCAGGGGTATTTAGCTTTGAGGTGACCTTCTCAGGAAGTCTTCCCCAACCAAAAAATCTGAGTTAGCTTTCCATACAGCCTACTGTATCTATTTTTTTAAAAGAACTGAGTATAAATGATATATAAACCATGCATATATAAAGTGTATGGCTTAATATGTCTTAGCACACGTATATGCTGGTGAAACCACTACCCTAATGAAGAATATGAACACATCTGTCACTTCTAGAAGGTTCTGTATATGCCACTCCTGCTTTTTAACTTATCATTTTCTGCAATTTTCTTAATTACTGTTTCCCTCTGTTACTGTATCTCCATTCACAGGACAGTAATTGTTATAGAGCAGGAACTCAGTCATTTGTTAAAAGAATGGCCAGGAGGAGATCTGGCTTTGATCTGTTCTACCATTGTGATAAATAACACTAGACTTGCCTTATAAAAAGGAAAATCCAATGTGGTATATATACACAATGGAATTCTATGCCTCCCTCAAAAAGAATGACATTGCCCCATTTGTTAGGAAATGGAAAGACTTGGAAAAATTATATTAAGTGAAGTAAGCCAGGCCCAAAGAAACATAGGACCAATGGTTTCCCTTATTTGCAATAACTATATATGTCTGAGACAAGCAGAAAAGGTCAGATAAGTTGATGTTAGGCAAAATGAACCCCAAGATAAGGATTCAAATGTTTTTTTCTTTCTTGCAATTGTTTCTAACACATTTATAAGATTATTTCTTTGTTGCTTTCTATGTCCCTCCCCTACGATATAACCCGTTTTCACTGTATTTGATGTTGGTATACTTTGTGGAGGGGAAGGGAAAAAACAAATCATTTAACTAGGGATATAGGTGGACCCATTACAACAATGAGATGTACAAGACGTTATATCAAAAAAGAACTTTGGTGGGGGGGGGGTGTAGAAGCGGGAAGAGGGGGCTGGGGGGAGAATGGGAAGGGATGGGAAGGGGAAACAAAGGAGGCAACAATGCTTGATACAAAATGTACTCATTACCTTGCCCATGTAATTGTAATCCCTCTGAATGGTATTTTCACAATTAAAAAAAAAAGGAGGAAAAAGCTAAAAAAAAAAAAAAAGAAAAAGAAAAAAGAAAAATCCACCTCTAGCTCCTCAGGATCTTGTCATATCCAATCTACATGAGTTTTCTTTATCACTGGGAGAAAGCCCCGGTGTGCTCACAACACAGACTGCTGTAATTTCCTCCGTGTGAGGTGTTGGCACACTTGTAACATCCCCAGTGACTGGGAATCATTACAGCTGCTGTCCTATCACTTCTCCCCATCCACCTTACACTCTGAAAAACTCAGCTGGGCACCAGCGATTCATGCCTGTAATGCTAACTACTCAGGAGGCTGAGATCTGAGGATCACAATTCAAACCCAGCCAGAGCAGAAAAGTCTGTGAAACTCTTATCTCCAATTAAGCACCAAAAGCCAGAAGTGGAGCTGTGGCTCAGCTGGGTTGAGCACTAGCCTTGAGAAAGAAAGAAAAAAAAAAAAAGCTCAGAGACAGCGCTTCATGCATTTCTCCAGACTTATTTCATGGCTGGAGCAATCCTTTGGTCCCTGCAGAGATGAGTAAGTTCTAGCCTTCTGTGATGAGCTGCCAAGAAGCTTTATGGGGCTTCAGTTAAGGAGTCTGATGCCCTTCAAGTTGAAAACGTTTGTTCTCTGTAAGGGCAGGAACTTGCTTTGGGTTTTGGTTATTTTTTTTCCTTGAAGTGTATGATACACAGCAGGGGAGATGGAATAATAACTGGTTATGTCTCATAAGATTTTTTTAACTTCCTATCCACATCATATTTAGATTATGTTTTCCTAGATTTAGTATTCAGGGAAGTAAGGTGAAACATGGCTGGGAATGTGGCTTAGTGGTTAGAGTGCTTGCCTAACATGCATAAAGCCCAGGGTTTGATTCCTTAGTACCACATAAACAGAAAAAGCCAAAAGTGGTGCTATGGCTTAAGTGGTAGAGTGCTAACCTTGAGCAAAAAGAAGTTCAGGGACAGGGCCTAGGCCTTGGGTTTATCAAGCCCAGGACTAGCAAACAAACAAAACAGTAAGGCAAAACACAATGACTGAAATAAAAGGAAAACTGGGTTTAATTAGTTGAGTTGATAAAATCCAGAGAGAACATGATTGTTTCCAGTGTCCTTGTCAAACAACAGGAAATTTCCAGAAACATTGCAGTCATGGGAAAACACCCTCCCCCCCCACCCCAGACACACACACACACACACACACACACACACACACACACACACACACACACACACACACACACACACACGAAAAAGGAAGAAAATCTCTTCACGCTGTTTTAAAAGAGAGGAGGGACAAACATGCATAAAAACAATCTCTAGGCTCCTTTCTAGAACAGTAGCTACTCTTTTCAGAAGCATGAAGGAGACTGAGAGTTGAGGAACACAGTTCAAAGCCAGTCAGGGTAGAAAAGTCCATGAGACTCTTATCTCCAAATCTCCAATAAGCTATTCAGAAAAAGCTGGAAGTGGTGCTGTGGTTCAAAGTGATAAAACTTATTAAGTTTTAATAAGTTTTAATTTCAATGTTTATTTTAATAAGTTTACCAAATGAAAAATTTTAGCTTTCTCATTTGTAGGAATGGTGGCAGGAAGGATATTAAAAAGACATAACTTATGCCAGGCTCCACTTTTAGCTACTTGGAAAGCTGAGAATAGGACTGTGGTTAGAGGTCAGTTAGGGTGCACATGGAAAACTTCTCAACCTATAACTGGATGCAGTGGAGTGCACTTATCATCCCAACTTACGTGGGAAGCTGAGATCAGAGGACTGCAGTCCCTGCCAGCCCCGGGAGACTCAGTCTTCACAGAGGAAAGCTCGCGGGGCCTGTAAAGGACTGGGAAGCACCTCTGTGGGGGAAGGGCATGGCCCCATCAGGCTGGCAAGCATCAGGTGATAGCACCCCCTCCCTTCAATAAAAAAGACTAACTTGAAGAAAAAAATGTCTCAGAGATTTTTTTTCCCAGGATTTCAGATATCTAGCCTACATGAAATATGACTCATCTTGAACTGATCTTGAATTCGCTGGCTGTGTACCCTGGAAAAGTGTGCACCAGGAGTTTCCTCCTCCTGCTGACACATGCCCTGATACGCGAAGTGGGCAGGGGACCTGGGCAGAGCAGGTAGGAAGAGACTGGGGCGTGGCCTCTTGCTTGAGGGGCGGAGCTAAGGGAACTTGAGAGCAGGGGCGTGGCCTTAGGAAAGCTAGGACGTTTGGCACCGCCTCCCCTGCGGTTGGGTATTCGCGTAGGCAACCTCCCACCTGCCTTACAGGTCTGCCTGAGAACAGAGCCATCTCTGGCCACAGCACCTGTAGACACAAGCTCTTTCCGAGGCTCGGCCAATTCTATCCCCTCGCCCCCTCCCCCGCCTCAGCCTCCTTGGCCAGCACTGCGCACGCCCAGTCTGTCAGCGCGCTCTTTCAGGCTCCTGCGCCTGCGCCAGCTCCCAGCGGGAGCGGGATGCAAACGTAGGAGCACGGAACACTACTCAGCCTTGAGTGGCTGGCCCTGGACCCGGCTGCTCCATGATCAAGACCTAGCCAACATCACTCAAGGATGGCCATGCCTTCGCGTTTTTTGAGACTCAGCAGTCTTGGGAATAAACGGGGGTGGGAGGTAGTGCGGCGGGATCTGGGTCCCACATTACCTTGATCTATAGGTCGCAAAAAGGGAAGGCCAAAGATGTGTGAAAGACTTAAGTGCTAATCTCTGTTCTAATCTTAGTGGCCATTTATGATGAAGAAAGCTTTGGGGAATTTGCCAAATCGTAATTTTCCTTACAGGATTTACATTCATGCTATTCTTAGTTACTTTCAATGGTCTATGGATCCAGACCAACTCTAAAGCCACTGCTCTTATTTACTCTATATTCTCTTTGCACCACAACTCCAGCTATTAGTTCTGGTGCAACTGGCCATAGGGTTCCTGACATGGGGAGGAGGAACAGAATGAGCCAAGACACCTGTAATGAATGTCTCACCTACTCAACATCTCCTGCACAGTTTTTTTCTTCATCTCTCATTAGGTCCACATTTGGTAACAATGTATCACACATTATGCTATATCCTGAGAATTCAGTGACAGGCCCTTTGTGTATGAGGATATAGCCTCAAATAGGAAGCCAGACCCAAAGCCAGTGGCATGTGTTTTAAAAAATAATTATCACATTACGTGCTGTAACTTTAGTTGTGATGTACTAACCCTGTCACCCTACAAGAGTACCACAGGAATCCCCTGGGCCTCCAAAGTTCTGACAGGGTTCTTCCTTTGTTTTCCTCTAGAATGGAACTGGTGCCCCCAGTAACCTATAGATTAGAAAACATATTTGTTCAAATTTGGATTTTACTCTGCTTACCCAAGAGTAAGGCCTAATAAACTTGCCAAGACACTGCTTTAGCATTGTGCCTTGTGGTGCTAAATCTAACATAGGCCAATTAGAATCTAAAAGAAGAATACAAATTTGTTTTACAGCAACACAAAATTTTATTACAGAACACTAAAAAGACAATCAGAAAATAATTATTTCTATAGAGTTACATTCTCTAACAAACTTTGTCCTTTGAAGAATCATTCCTTTAAAAAAAGCTACCTGTAACATTACCAAATATATGTGTGTGTGTGTGTATATATATATATATATATATATATATATATATATATCAAAGAGCAATCAGCTGTAACTAATAAAAAAGGAAATATAAAAATACAAAAATACAAAAATAATTATTTATACTCATATAAACAATATCCAAACAGCAAATAAATACATTCAATATCCACCTACACTTAGCTCCGACTATGAAATAAATGTAGTATCAGATGCTCAGATTCACAATACTGTATTTTTTCACCGATTTCTTCATTTGCTTAATTTTCTTCCTTAACACTTGATGATCTTGTTTTAAAATATACCGAAAATATCTACAACCTAAAAAAAAAAGCAAATTAATACTCAATAAATACTTAAGTGATAAATTAATACTTAAAATTTTAAAGAATATGTCTTCATCTCAAAACTTATGCTTCAACTTTGGCATACTGATTATGAAATAGACTTATTTATATTGTCTATAACACAATAGCATAGGCCTTAGCATTTTCTAAGAGCTGTCACCAATAAAATGTATTATTTCCTACATGTTTCTGATCCATCATAATTAAAGCATATACTTTAGCTTGTATCCTACTCCTCCCCTAATATGTTGATATGCCTTATACATACATAAGTATATATACAGTATATACCTTATGCTATATTATAGACTATAAAATGTATACATATACATTCATATATGAGCCTCTCTAAAGGCAAATTAGCTTCCACCTCAATGTTAGCTTGTAACTCAGTCACAATGACATCTATCACAATGTTCCTGGTTCTAGGGTTTTACTAGTAATTTATGGGGTTTTGATTATTTTTTAGACAGTCTTACTATGTTGCCCAGATTAGCTTTGAATATTGCTAAAGCGATATTCCACCTCAGCCTCCTGAATAGGAAGGAGTTACATACTAATTCATATTTCTAAACATATCACTTTAGTTATAACAAAGAATTTCATCATATCCACATTTCAGCTTACACTTGCATAGAAAGCTGGAAAGAATGTCACTCCTACCTTAACAAAAAAGAAAAGCTAAGCAGGGTGCCAGTGACTTATATCTATAATCCTAGCTACTCAAGAGGCTGAGATCTGAGGATCATGGTTCAAAGGCAGCCTAGGCAGGAAAGTCCGTGAGACTCTTATCTCTAATGAGCCACCAACAAACTCTAAGTGGAGCTATGGCTCAAAAGCTCAAGAACAGTGATAGACCCTGAGATCAAACCCCAGGACTGGCACAAAAAAAAAAAAAAAAAATAAAAAAAAAATAAAAAATTAAAAAAATTTTAAAACACAATATAGAGAGAGAAAAAAAGAAAAAGATATCTCCGAGAAAAAAAAGACACCGTGTTTCACACAAAAAACAAAAACAGACAACACACCCCCCGAAAAGAAAAAAAAAAAAAGACAACAACAAAAAGAAAATGCACATCATAGGATAAAAAAAAATAGACAAAAAAAAAAAAAAAACAAAACCCAAAAAAGCGATACACACCACACAAAAACACCGACACAAAAAAAGAGATACCCATATTCAAAAACAAGAGATCTCTCTCATATACCCAGAAAACAGTATAAAAGAGACACACACGACACGGAGAAGAGAGGGACACGGGATATAAAAAAAAACCACAAGAAAAAATAGAAAAAAAACAGTACAAAACGCACACCACACACAAAAAGCCCAAAAAGCAAAACCGCGACACAAAAATATGACAAAAGAGAGACACAAAAAGAAAAAAAAGAGCAAAAACACAGACACCCAAAAATATGCACAACACCAGAAAAAACAGAAAAAAACAAAACAAAAAACACAGCTCTCCCCAGACACATTCCACAAAACACTCATATGTGAAAACCCCTCTCGCACAAAAAAAAAACATTATAAAAATCAGAAAAAATATCAAAAATATACGCAAAACAAAAACCAAAAAAAAAAAAAACACAACAATATAAAAAAAAATCTCTAGAACACACCAAAAATCCCAGAAAAACATGTCTCAAAACTATATCCACATCTCAAAACATATTGTGGCAAAACTATACCACAACACGCCACACTGTCACATACACAGGCACAGAAAAAAGGTACACGCGCAAAACACCTCGACACCACAGGGAAAAGAAAAAGAAAAAAGTTATAAAAAAAAAAAAAAAACTCCCCTCTCCTCTTTAGAGGACACTTTGAGATACGAAAACAAAAAATATTTTCTCTCCACAAAAGAAAAAATGCCCCCCCCATAGAAAAAAAAAAAAACAAAACACACAGATAAAAAAAAAGAGAGAGCACAAAAAAAAACACTTGTGGTGGTGGTGGTGGTGGGGCACATAGAGCGCTAAAACACAGCCCCGGCGCTATACCCCAGAGCTCTTCTCCAAAACGAGAACACTCCCACACTGACACATCTCCTCGGGTTTGAGAGGGGAAAAGAAGAGAAAAGACTCACAAGAACACTCCCCCCCCCGCGCGCGCTGAAAACAGAGACCCACAGATCACACCCCCCAGAGGCGAGAAAAATAGGGGTGAGAACACGCACACAGAGAAAAAAAAAAATTGTCCCCTTAAAATACAAAAAACATCACAAAAACCTCTACACAGAACACCAAAAAAACACATATAATAATAATAATAATATAGAGAAAAAACACTGCACATCAAAAACACCAAAAAAAACACACACACAGAACAAAAAAAAAAAACAAAAAAAAAAAAGAAAAAACACTGTCCACAATGCATAGGAGCCTCCACATGCACATCACCTGGGCCCAACTCAAGATTCATTCTTCCATTCACCAATTATTTCTCAAGCACATAGAAGCTTTAGGCACTATATTTGATAACCTCTAAATAAATCAATTATACTGTGGAATTTCAACATTCGCCAAAAGCCATGTTAATTTTTTTTTTTTCCCAGTCCTGGAGCTTGCTCATGGCCTGGGCACTGTCCTTGAGCTTGAGCTTCTTTTTGCTCAAGGCTAGCACTCTACCACTAGAGCCACAGTGCCACTTCTGGCTTTTTCTGTTATATGGTACTGAGGAATTAAACCCAGGGCTTCAGGCATGCTAGGCAAGCACTCTACCACTAAGCTACATTCCCAGCCCTAATTTTTTTTAAATGTAAATGTACCTTTTCCTAACAATATCCCAGCCACAAAAGCTTTCTCACAAGCCAAATCTGTGTCTTCTTTCCAATCACATTTTGCCCAAAAGTAGCTGAAGTGAAAGGTTGGCCACCAGGTTTTCCTGGAGTTCCATTGTTCTTGAACCCATGTAGGATGATTTCTGGGAAAGAGAAATATCAAAAAGGGAAGGTCAATGATGCAATGATGGGGACAAATCTGTAGAGTCAGAATTAGAATCTGTGAAGAGTCTGGAAAGATGACAAGGAAGATGTTTCCATACGAACTTCTGAGTACACACATGGCTTGGCACATGACTGGCAGTAGCATGAAGGCAAATCCTTTTGTGTTCTCTTTAATCTCCAGATCCTATTTCAATTCATTAACAGTGTAAAATTCTGGATTCAAAGCTCAGATCATTCATTTACCAACTGTTTAATCCTAAGTAAATTGCTTAATATTTCTGAATCTAAGTTTCCTTGTGGATAAAAATGGTACTGGTTCAAGTAGCACCACATGCTTCACATAAAGCTCCTTACAGTGTCTGATACACAGTAAATGATTTTTAAAAAAGTTAGCAGTCACAATTACTTAATTACATATTATATAATTACTTTAGAAAGTCCCTAGTGGCTCATGTCTGTAATTCCAGCTATTCAGGAGGCTGATATCTAAGGATCATGGTTCAAAACCAGCCCAGACAAGAAAGTCAGTGAAACTCTTATCTTCAACAAGCTTCCAAAAAGTAAGAAGTAGAACTGGTGGCTCAAGTGGCAGAGTGCTAGCCTTGAACAAAAAGGCTCAGAGACAATGCTCAGGCCCTGAGTTCAAGCCCAAGGACCAGCAAACCTCTGTCTCCCCCTCCCCCACGCCCCACTCCGCCCCAGGAAGAGTTACTTTAGAACCTTCCATAAAGTTATATACACTACTGAGAATTGCAATACAAATTCAGATACCATTTTCATACAAATGCTTGAGTACATGATTATGATAGCTGCACTGAGGCAAGCTAAATGTTGATCAATACCTTGATTAAATGCTTATTTAGCACCTACATGCTCTCTGTGGTAAAACTTCTAGAGACTAGAAAAATGCACAGTATATTTCCTGGCTATCAAGAACCCTATGGTCAAATACAAGAAAGATTACGTGTAAAGAACAATGATAAATATTATTATATAAAATTTAAGCTCAAGAAGTGGGCTAGAGTTCAATCACACTAGCTAAGTTACTTTTAATACAAAGAAGGAAGAAAATATAAACTCTATTTACTAGAAAATTAGTTTTTTTCCTCTCCACTAAAGGTCTTTTTTTTTTCTTTAAAGAAAAGGAAAAAAGAGAATCTAAAGTGTAGTCGGTGGTGAAACAGTATGTTAGAATTGGAAAGTGGTTAACAATAAATGTACCAACATATCACAATGCTATGTTTCCCTCCTCCCAAATTCACATGTGAAACCTACAGGCCATTATGATGATACAAGGAGGTAAGGAAATGGGAAACTCTAGAATGTGAGCTTAGTCATGAACTAGATTAGTTCTGTCAGGAAAAGCCCCAGAGCATTCATTGCCTTGCTCTCTTCCACACATCAAGAAGGCACTCAATATGAACCAGGAAGATGGCCCTCATCAGGCACCAAATATGCTAGCACCTTCACCTTGGACTTTGTACTTCTCAGCCCCTAGAATTTTTAAGAATAAATTTGTTCTCCACTTGCATGTTTTCTTATAAACTCTCAAACAGAGTAAGACATACAAATACAAATAGAGTAAGACATGTTTATAAAAACATTTTATAATCAGCATGTACTATTTCCAGCATCTAGTCAGTTCTGAAGTTTGACACAACCAATTAAAATGGACAAAATATATAACTAAAACTTAACATTGTGATATTCTTTCTTCTCATATAAAAAATAAAAACCACCTCCTTGGGGTTGGGAAGGTGGCTCAGCGGTAGTGTTTGCCTCACATGCATGAGGCCCTGGGTTCAACTCCTCGGCACCACATCAACAGAAAAAGCTGGAAGTGGTGCTGTGGCTCAAGTGGTAGAGCACTAGCCTTGAGCTGAAAAGCTGAGGAACAAGAATTTTTTTTTAAAGCAAAAAAAAAAAATTAAAAATTGAAAGATATTGCAGGATGCCAGCAACTTACACCTATAATCCTAGATACATGGAAGGCTGAGAAATCTGAGGGAGGCTTGTGGATGGAGCCTAGCCAAGACAGAAAAGTTCACTAGACCCCTTCCGAACCCATTGTTGGAAGCAGTAGTGCATACCTGTCACTCTAAGCTACTTGGAAGGCTGAGATTGGGAAGATCATGGAGCCATGCCAGCTTGGGCAGAAAGATTCCCAAGACTCCATCTAAGTGGAGAGAAGCTAGATGAGAAGGCACCCGCGTGTCACCCAACAATGACAGAAAGCCTGGAATAAGCAGATTCCTGTCCAGGTGGACACCTGGGTAAGACCCAAGACCTTTTCTCAAAAATAACCAGTGAAAAGCAGAGCTAGGAGCATGGTTCAATGATAGCAAGTGTGTAGCTCTGAATTCAAACCCTAGTACCATAAATTAAACAAGAAAAAAAAACAAGTGAAAGACATTAGCTAAAACATCCATTAGTATTATTTACAATGTTCTGGTAATGAATGTTATTTCTTACTTACTGTATTAATATTTGTTTCAGATATTTTGCCAAATATTTCCAAGCAGTTATGTTCTTTGTGCATCCAGCAAAATCCAAAAGCCCAAATAACACTTCCAAACCCAGTTTACGGTGTTCTTCTTTTTCTGCAATATTGGTAAGCCCAAGTTTACACACATTACTGAATTAGTGCACAAAGCTAAAAAAGATATAAAGTTGATCAAGTATTACTGAATCACAAGCTTCTGTCTGATTAAATGTTTAAAACAATTTACTACACTCATTCTTCTGTGATGAATCAGAAGAATTCATGCTAATGAGAACAAGACTGTAAGTCTGATCCAAATACACTCTTCTACTTATATACTAAGAACCTGCCCTATTTAGGCATTTTTGTCATATTCTCTTCTCTTAAGGAAAGGGATTTGCATAGTTTTGGTACTAATTACCTTAGCAAGTTGACTTCCTTCTAGTAAGTATGTACTTTTCTATACCTAGCTGAAGCTCTACAGGAATTAAAATGAAGTGAATTATATAAATGGAAGCCATTTCTCTTTTGCTACCCATTGCCCAATGTTCTATCAGAGCAGACAAACTTTTTCTGTAAAGGGAGAGTCAGAAAACGCTTAGTGGGGCATGTAGCCTGTGCACAATTCTGCCATTGAAGGGCAAAACCTAAAGGAATGGGATCCTGTTGTGCTTAATTACAAAACTGGGGATGGGGGGAGTGGCCCTTCCATCACTGCTTACTAATTTCCTAGTATATAGAATATCTACATAAAGATATATTAAAAAATTATTTACCTGATTTTCTAAGTAATACATGGAATTCTAACATCAGCTGATGAGATGGAACAATCTCATATAAAATCTAGAAGAAACAACAACTGGTAATTTACACATAATACTGACATTTCTCAAATTTCAGCTCAGTTTCAAATAAAATTTAAGGGGGTGTGTACGTAAGTGTATTATTTAGCATGCAACTCAGATTGGTATTAACTCAGTCTTCCTGCTTCTGTCTTCTAAGTGCAGTGAAAAATAAAGTCAGGGATACTGGGGAAGATAAATGAAGACTTTTCATTTTCATCTTATACATATTTCTGCTTAACATACTTAAAAACTTAAAATATTTTATTTTTGCCCACCAGAAAATCTTAATTATCTGAGATAGGCAAATGATTCTTATTCTAAGAATAAAATATTTTATTTATTCTTTTTTTTTTTTTGGTTCCGGTCGTGGGGCCTGAACTCTGGGCCTGGGCACTGTCCCTTAGCTCTTCAGCTCAAGGCTAGCACTCTACCACTTGAGCCACAACTTTTTCCTTTTTTCTTATGTGGGGCTGAGGAATCGAACCCAGGGCCTCGAGCATGCAAGGCAAGCGCTCTACCACTGAGCCTCCTTCCCAGCCTATTTTATTTATTCTAAGAATAAAACCCATCAAAATGAGAAATGTCTGCTCTTCAAAAGACACTATTAAGAAAAAAGGGGTTGGAGTATAGTTTATTAGCACACATGCTTAGCATACTCAAGGCTTGAGTTCAATCATCCCCAACACCTGTAACATAAAAAAGAAACAAAAAAAAAGAGAAGCAATCCTCTGTGGGGAAAAATTCCCAATCCATGGAATTTTATTCAGAGTATACAAATTCTTTTAAATGGGGAAGATAATACTGCTAAAAAAAAAAATTAAAGATAAAATATCTGGATACTACAAAAAAGAAAAGAGAAGTGGAGGACACAAGAATGGCCAAGACATATTAAAAAATAGTCAACATTAGCCTTTAGATAAATGCAAATAAAAGCTATGATTAGATCTATTCTAATGCTGACACTGTAATGGTTGCAAGCCAAACACTCAATATTAAATGTTGGCACAGATGGGGAAATTGAAGTTTTACACATAGATGGTAGGAGTGTCAATAGTACAGTCATTTCAGAAATAGCTGAGTAGTTTCCTAAGAAGTTAAATATGTTTTCCTTATCCAGCAATTCCACTCTTACTTTCCTAGTGAAAAATGAAACTACATGTGAACACTAAGACTTACACATGTATCGTCTTAGTAGCATTATACACAATAGTGAAAAAGTAAAAATAAGTGCTGGAGAGATACGTCAGTGTTACAGGTTTTGTCTAGCATGCACAAAGCCCTGGGTTTGCTCCATAGAAGTCCATCAAGAAATGGATATATAGTTGTGCTGGTAGCTTTAGTATGGCCTTGTTTGTGATCATTTGGGTAAATGCCCAGAAATGGGATTGCTGGGTCATAGGGAAGCTCTATGTGTAGTCTTTTGGAGAACCTCCATACTTCTTTCCAGAGTGGTTGAATAAGTTTATATTCCCACCAATAGTGCAGCAGGGTTCCCTTTTGGCCACATCCCCTCCAGCATCTGTTGTTATTAGATTTCTTGATTATAGCTGTTCTAACTGGGGTAGAACCAACCCAGATGCCCCTCAGTAGATGAGTGGATCAAGAAAATGTGGGCGATATATATATATATAATGGAATTTTATGCTTCCATCAGAAAGAATGACACTGCCCCAATTTGTTAGGAAATGGAAACACTTAGAAAAAAATCATACTAAGTGAAGTAAGCCAGACCTAAATAAAGATCCCATGGGTTCTCTCATTTGCAATAATTAGAATATGCCTAGGATAATTTTATCAGATGAGTAGAAAATCTCAAAAGCTATGTTCATATGACCATATAAGATGATGCTAAGCAAAACAAGCCCCAAGATATGGACACAAGAGGTGTTTTTCTTTGTTGTTGTTGTTTTTAATGTACTATGTGATTGTTTTGTTTCCTTTGTATGTTCTTCCTACTATGGTATATCCTCCTGTTGTCACTGTACTTGATTTTGGTACCTTGCATCTTGTATATATATTTGTCTAATTTGGGGAGGGGAAGGAAGAGGAAGGGGAATAACGGAACGTTGAAAGAAGGACACAGGATGACCCACTGCAACAATGATACCCACAAGACACTATATTGGAAATGAACTTTACAACTTTGGTGGGGGAGGGGGGAGTAAAGGAGGGGGGGGGGGGAAGAGATAGTGGGAGAACAACAAAGGAGGGAATAACAATCCCTTGCTCAACAAGAAATGTCCTCATTACCTCACTCATGTAACTGTAACCGCTCTGTACAGCAGCTTTACAATAAAATAAAATGTTTTTAAAAACCAACCAAAAAATGTATACATAAAAACTCAGCTATAATAAGTTACGAATATACATGCAGCAGCATGGGAGAAATTAGAAAACATTATTCTGAACAAGACAAACCATACCATAAAAAGCAAAAACTGTTCAAATACTGGAATAAAAATTCTATACCTAATGGTATATTGAAAATGAACTATACAATTTGCAGGTGGGAGAGGGAAAAATTGATAGAGTGAGTGAGGGAAGGGGTGACAATGTCCAAAAGGAAATGTACTCTTTACCTGACTTATTTTAACTGTACCCTCTGTACATCATCTTTACAATAACAAATTTTTAAAAATTCTATACCTTAAGCACGCTTAGAAGTTTTGCTTTTGGTGCCTTCTCTCGCTTTAGAAAGTTGTATAAGTAGATGTGAGCATTGGGATTTGATGGAAACTTTGCATCATAGGCATAATTGGTGAGAACCTTTCTGGCTCCATCATGATCACCATAGAATTCCAGCATCTAAAAAAAGTAAATTCATGATGTCTTAGCTGATTCTTTCAGATGTCTCTAAAAAGGTAAGATACAACTTTACCACTAGAAAGCAACAATAACTACAACAAAGCATCACAAAATGAACAAATAGTAACTGTTTAAGGAATAACAGTTATTATTCTTTGTTTTCACTGTCATTGTTACAACTTGTAAACAGACAAGATCACTTAAGATAGAGATCTAGGCCAGGCACCTGTGGCTCATGCCTGTAATCCTAACTACTCAGGAGGCTAAGATCTGAGGATCACAGTTCAAAGCCAGCCCAGGCAGGAAAGTCCATGAGACTCTAATCTCCAATAAACCACTCAGAAAACTGGAATTGGAAGCAGTGGCTCTGAGCGCTAGCCTTGAGCTGAAGAGCTGAGGAACAGCGTTTAGGCCCAGAGTTCAAGCCCCATGACTGACCAAAAAAAAAAAGAGGTCTGTGGACTCCCATTTAAAATTGGTATTTTGTTGCTAAAACTTTAAAAACCATTCCTACCAGAAACAAGTCCTCAGGCTGAACTTGGAGGATCATAGTTCGAAGCCAGCCCAGGCAAGAAAGTCCTTAAGACTCTTATCTCCAATTAACCACCAGAAAACCAGAAGTGGTGCTGTGGTTCAAAGTATTAGAGCACTAGCAATACTAATGATTATGAATAAGATGTACTTCAGTGTCCTACCACAAAAAAAATGTGCCTGGCAATTACATGTGCTATAAATTCTGCTCCCATCCTTACACAGGAATTCAGAGTAGGATATAGTTTTGGAGACTATCTTCATAAAGTACTTATAAATTCTTAAAAGAGCAAATATATTCCTACAGAACAGTGCCAAGCTTTCTGTCTCCTTTTACAATGACATGATAGGACACCTTATAAACTTTCTGAAAGCTACTAATCATCTCATACATTGTGATCCATATAACCAATATGCAGATTTTTCCATTTCCCTATTACACCCCACCCAATCTTCCTACTTTTCTTTTAAGTTCAATAAGAATAACAAGAATTGACATATACAATCACATGCTATTTCTATTGTAGGTATTTGATGTGAAAGGTTACCCAGTGATAAAAATAAACAAAAATAACTTTGATAGCACATTAATAAAGAACAAAAAAAGAAACATCCCATTTTTCTTTTTTAAAAAACTATCTTCTTCCTTAGTTTCCATCTGAACATGGCGCAAGCTATCTTTGCACAGGCTTAATACAAAATAAAACTAACAATTTTCTGAAAAGTCGACTTACCTCTACATAACTCTTCACAAAAGGGTCCCAAACTCCTGGAATTTTAATCAATGCACCAATATGTGTAGATGTCTTCCAGCTCTGGTTAAGTATATTTCGGGATTTTGTGCTGTAAGCATAATCATTCTTATCTGTCCAAAGATAAATGATTTTCATTTTTTTTTTATTTTTTGTGCTGGTCATGGGGCTTGAACTCGGGGTCTGAGTGCTGTCCCTGAGCTCTTCATCTCAAGGCTAGCACTCTACCACTTAAGCCACAGCGCCACTTCCGGCCTTTTCTGCTTATGTGGTGCTACCAAAAAGCTGTAAGTGGGAGCTGTGGCTCATGTGGGAGAGCTTAGAGCAAAGGCAGCTTAGGAGCAACACCCAGGCCCTGAATTCAAGCCCCAGGGCATGCACAAAAAGAAAAACAGAAAACAAAAATTTGACAAAAGGTATCTATGAAACACTCACAGCTAACATTGAACTTAATCATGAAAGATTATATAGTTTCCCCCTAAAGGAACAAGACAAGGATGTTTTCTCTGACCACATCTATTCATTATGCTGAAGGTTTTACTCAGGGCGAAATAACAGAAAAGATGACCAAATTAAAAAGAAAGTAAATTTTATCTCTTTTTGTAGATAATATGATCATGTACATAGACACTCTGAAAACTTATTAGAACTAAAAAATGAGATTGTCAAGGATAGAGGGTACCAGATAAATACACAAAAATCAATTGTATGCAATACACTTGCAAGAGACAATAAGAAAATAACACTGTGAAAAGAAAGCCATGTACAAAAGCAACAAAAACAATACTTAGATATTATCTTTAATACTTAAGAATCATCTGTATATCTATAATCAATTATCTATATTTACCTGTAACTCTAATCAAAACCTCAGAAGATCTTTACATGAAAACCCAAGATCCTGAAAATAGTATATCTATATCCAGATAGAGAGAGAGAGAAAGAGAGAGAGACAGACAGACAGACACATATAATTGTTACAAACAAGGGGCTGGTAGCTCACGCCTTGTAATACTAGCTACTCAAGAGGCTGAGATCTGAGGACTGCAGTTCAAAGCCAGCCCAGACAGAAAAGTCCATGACAATTTTATATCCAATTAAACACCCCCAAAAAAATCCAGAAGTAGAGCTGTGGCTAAAGTGGTAGAGCACTAGCCTTAGCTCAAGGACAGTGGCTATACCCTGAGTTCAAGCTCCATGACCAAAAAAACAAAAAACACCCAAAAAACTGTTACAATACTTCTGACTAGATTTTATAAAGAACTCTTACAATTCAATCATTAAAAGACAAATAATTTGCTGGTGTGATGGTATATGATTATAACATTACCTACTTGGGAGGCAGAGATCAAGAGGATCTGTTTGAGGCCAGCTTGAACAAAAAGTTAACAAGACCACTCCATATCAACTAGAAAGCTGGGTGTGCTAGTATGAGCCTCTGATCCCAACGATAAGAGTGGAACAGGTAGCAGGATTGCAGTCCAAGGCCAACCAGGACAAAAGCATAAGACCCTATAATAATAATTAATAACAGTAACTAAAGCAACACAAATGGGTGGGGATGTGGTTCAAGGGGTAGAGTACTTGCCTAGCAAACTTGGAAGCCCTGAGTTCAAATCTCAGTATGCCAGGGAAAAAAAAGGTATTCAATTAAAATTCAAACAGAAGATCCAAACATAAATTTTTCCAAAGAAGACATATAAATGGCACACAAGGACATGAAAAAATGCTCCACAAAATGATAAGACTGCTAGCCTTGAGTTCAGGGATAATATCAAGGCCCCAGAGGCAAGCCCTAAAACTACCACAAACAACAAGAATAATTAACAGATTAACACCAGGAAGTAAACCTGAAAATACCAGAGCAGTTAGCCCCCTCCTGCCATCTAACTTTAGATATTGTTATAAGAATAGGAGACAGAAAAGGACTATCTGACTTTTCACAAATGGGAAAAGTTAGCTGCTGGTGGCTCATGCCTGTAAGCCTAGCTACTCAGGAAGCTGAGATCTGAGAATCAGGGTTCAAAGACAGCCCAGGCAGGAAAGGTCCTTAAGACTGTTGTCTCCGATTAATCACCAGAAAACCAGAGGTAGAACTGTGGCTCACAGAGGCAGAGTGCTAGTCTTGAGCAAAAAGAGCTCTCATGGACAGCAACCAGGCCTTGAGTTCAAGCCCCATGACCAATAAAAAACAAAAAACAAAAACAAACAAAGAGGTTAATTTCAAAAAGCATTATTTATAATACTACAAACGATATATTCTAAATAGCCATCAATAGTACAGGAATAAATTTGTGTGAATGTCATACAATGAAATGTCTTACAACTACAAAAATGAATAAACCATACCTACATTTAACAATGTATGTCTTAAAAATCAATGGTAAACAAAATGTGTAAGGTCCAAATGAATGCACAAAGTATGAATCCAAATATAAAAAACTTGGCTTGGGCTGGGAAGGTAGCTCAGTGGTAGAGCGCTTACCTTGCATGCATGAGGCTCTAGGTTCGATTCCTCAGCACCACATAAGCAGAAAAAAAAAAAAAGCCGGAAGTGGCTCTGTGGCTCAAGTGGTAGAGTGCTAGCCTTGAGCTGAAGAGCTGAGGGACAGCGCCCAGGCCCAGAGTTCAGGCCCCACGACCGGACCCAAAAACAACAACAACAACAAAAAAAAAAACTTGGCTTGTAAAATGGAGGAGACAAACATAGTGGAGGGGGTTAACTTGCTCAATGTGCACTGTTTGCATGTATGGAAATACTGCAATGAAACATCCTATTATAAATAAAACTAAAAACTGATATAACCCCAAATTAAAACATTAAAAAATATATTACAGAAAAAAAGTATAAAAACTCAGATATAACCAGGCACTGGTAGCTCACACCTGTAATCTTAGCTACTCAGGAGGCTGAGATCTGAGGATCACAGTTCAGAGCCAGCCTGGGCAGGAAAGTCCGTGAGACTCTTATCTCCAATTAACCACCAGAAAACTGGGTACAATTCCTCAGTACCACATAAATGGAAAAAGCCAGAAGTGGTGCTGTGGCTCAAGTGGTAAAGAGCTAGCCTTGTACTCAAGCTCATAAACAGTGCCCAGGGCCTGAGTTCAAGCCCCAGGACTGGCAAAAACCAAAAACAACAACAATAAAAATTCAGACACATACTAACGTTATTTATCAGGAACACATGGATTTTCAATCTATTTTAACTAGTTTTGTTGCTATCTTTAATAAAGGAAAGAAACTGTTTTCATACATTATTGAAAAAATTTCAGATACAGACAAAACAAAACTACAAATGTATACAAAAAGGAGAAGTATAAAGAAAAACAAGGAAGGGATTATCATAAAAGTCCATAGGTTACTATGGACTTATTACTTATTAACAAGGCTTATGAAAGCTAGACATCTATTCTCCCATAGAACTTGGGTGTCAGGGACCCTGCCTTCTGGCATTGGCCAGAACAGAAAATTCTTAGTAGCTATTTTAAGGGGAACAGATCATATGGGGAATAAAACCTTGAGCTGTTAGAAATTATCTTAGGAGCTACAGGAATCGCTGTACTTTTCCTTTCTTTGTATAGTTTTCCTCCAGGTTCTTTGGGATAAACCCTTTCTTCTTTACATCTTCATCCAATTTTATCCTCATACATACTCGTAGGTAAGGACTACTTCTGTATTATTCATATTTAACAAGTAGTATTTCTGAGGACCAATTTATTTCCTTTCTTCTTTAAGTCTTCCCTTTCCTTGCTTCCCAATACACTAGAGAATTGCTTTATTTATGTTAATCTTGTGAGTATCTTGCTGGCTCCATATCTGAAATGTTCTTTGCCCTTTAAGACTCACTGGCCTTTGCCTAACAACTCCTGGTAATACCTCAGGCAGTCAGTGGCAGGTTTACCTTTAACTCTTGCCTTTTATTCTGGACATTTTCAGGTGTACTTTATGCTACCTTCTCATTAAGCAATCTTTTGATGTTACTTCTGTACCTTCTATTTTCTTTGCCATAATTTCTGATAAAATTTCTCATTTTAAAAAATGGCTTATGATGGGGCTGGTAAGGTGGCTCAGTGATAGAGTGTTTGCCTTGCATGCATGAGGCCCTGGGTTCAATTCCTCAGCACCACATAAGAAAAAAAAAAGCCAGAAGTGGCGCTGTGGCTCAAGTGGTAGAGTGCTAGCCTTGAGCTGAAGAACTGAGGGACAGCGCCCAGGCCCAGAGTTCAGGCCCCACGACCGGACCCAAAACAAAAAAAAAATGGCTTATGAAGCACCAGGTGTGGTTTGTGGCTGCACTCCCCACATTCGGGAGGCTGAGGTGAGGGGATCATGAGTTTGAGGCCAGTTTGAACAATGTATTGAGGCTTCATCTCAAAAAGCCAAAGTGACCCAAACAAAACAGATATATGGGTATTAATTGACGAGGTGAATAAATACTTCTGTACTTTTCTGTAGTTTGTATTTTTTTCTATAGCAATGATAGATGCAGACTGGATCACATATGTAGCTTTCTAAATGATCTTTAATGAGAAAAACTTAGGATTAGATCTACATAGCCAAACTCATGAGATCTTCACATGGGAGCATGTAACTGTTCGCTATAATATCTAATGTCACTAGGATTACTAGATGATTCTTAAGACTCCTTCTAAGAGAAATTTGTTTCCTTTTTTGTTGGTCATGTAGCTTGAACTCAGGGCCTGGGCACTGTCCCTGAGCTCTTTTACTCAAGGCTAATACTCTACCATTTTTAGCCACAGTACCACTTCCAGTTTTCTGGTGGTTAACTAGAGATCAGAGTCTCAAGGACTTTCCTTCCCAGGCTGGCTTTGAACTGAAATCCTCAGATCTCAGCCTCCTGAGTAGCTAGGATTACAGGTGTGAGCCACTGGCACCAAGCTAAAAGTTTATTTTTTACAAAAACAGTAATTATATACTTTAAAAAAAAGTTTATTCAGCTGGGAATGTGGCTTCGTGGTAAACTGCTTAGCATGCATGAAGCCTTGGGTTTGATTACTCAGTACCACATAAGTGGTGCTGTGGCTCAAGTGGTAGGGTGCTAGCCTTGAGCAAAAAGCAGCCCAGGAACAGTGCCCAAGCCCTGGGTTCAAGCCCCAGGACTGGCAAAAAAAAAAAAAAAAAACAGTTTATTAATATTCACTCACCAAGCTTTGACAATTCCATCTTCTTTTTAGACCAAGTATAGTATTGCAAAAGCCCTTTGTAGGCCTGAACAAGGTTCATTATTATTTCCTGGGAAGCTGACTTTTCACCGTATCTCCATGTTTCTGCCTGACTTAGATTTCTGTTTGCATCTTCAAGCATTCCATGATGTAGAAGGTACAATGCATGTTGTAAGGAGATCTGCACCAATTTAAAAAAAGCCAATTGTCACATAAGTCACTAAATAAACATTAGTCAAAAAGCTCAGCAAATATATAACATATGCAAAGCTGAGTCTTGGTAGGATACAAAGGACATGATACTGCCCCTATCATCAACATGAAACTAGTAATGCTATGTAAATGAGAGCTAAGTTATATAGACTCACAAACAGAAGATAAAGTGATATAAGGGGTGGGAGGACAGGTTGGGAACAGCCTTAAGATCAAGTGTTCTGGTTCAACTAAGCTCAGGAAAACATCTTGAGGAGTGTTGAAGAGTAATGAAAAGTATATCCCTGATACATTCAATTAAAATAAAAAAAGAAGGAACATTTCAAGAATTGAGGACACTAAAGAGAAATGCAATTACAATCATGGGAAATACAACTAAAGCATAGGCAGATCAAAAAGTTCAAGACCTTCCTCTCAAACTCTTGCAATGATTTCTCAACTGGTCCCTCCATTTTTGCCCCCCACAATCAATCTTCCATGTGGCTACCAAAGAAATTACCTCATTTGGCAAAACCCTGTACAGGAGTCTCCCACTACCTACAGGATCAAATTCAAGCTCCTTAGGTACAGAACACAGGGCCAGGTTTATTTTCCCTGATTTCTACCTAAGTGATTTTTAAAGTAACAAAAGCATTGAATGCAAGGCTATCAAATTATTACCCCTTGATATACCAGGCTACCCTTTCCTCTAGTTTTCCTAGAGAAACAGCAATGGTGTTCTTCATAGTAATAGTAACCAAAAATGTTTTACTGCTTGTCCTAGTTACTGGTCTCAGACTCTGGAGTGAGAAATGAGGTTCCTCCATTTACTTTTCACTCATTGCATGCCTGGGCCACCAGAGGATAAGTCTGTAAGGAAACACCTAGCACCTAAATACACATTCAGAAAAATTTTCCTAAAGTTACAAGTAACAGGTAAAAGTAATTCTAAACTGAAAAACGTCTGTTTACAAAATTAAAAAAGATGTGAAACAGTGTAACCACTATGGCAAAGAGTTTAATATATCCTAAAAGCCTTAAGCAGAATTTGGGGTGTAGAATGCATGAACGACTTAGCAATTCTTCTCCTAGGTATATACCAAAGAAACTGAACACCGAGACACAAATGGATACTTGTATACCAATGCCCACTGAAACATGATTCAAAAGCCAAAACACGAAAATAATTCAGCAGCAGATAATAGATACTGAACATGTAAATACACAGCTATACAAAGACATAGAGTTCTGATACATGCCAGATAAGGGTTCTGATATATGCCACAACATAAATAAAGCTTAAAAACATACTAAGTGAAAGAAACAGACATAAATGGACACATGGATATTGTGATGTATATATCATCACAATAAAAATTGAGTACAGATGGGAGAGGGAAACTGGGAGAGAGCAAGAGAAGGGGAGACATTGTCCAAAAAGAAATAGACTCATTACCTGACTTATGCAACTGTAACCCCTCTTTACATCACCTTTATAGTAATTTTTTTTTTTTACTTGAGGAACAGAGAAAGTAGAAACAAAGCCAGAGAGTACTTCAGGCTTTGCAGGCTATGTGGTATCATCACAATTACTTAACTCCACCACTGTCATTCACTCAAAACCAGCTACTGACAAAATGGAGACCAATGAATGTGGCTATATTACAATAAAATGTTATAATCATGCAACATTAAAAACAATTTATACAAGGGTTGGGATTGGGGGGGAGGGGGGAGGCTGGGAAGGGATGTGAAGGGTAAACCAAAGGAGGAGGCTGCAATGCTTGGTAAGAAATATACGCATTATCCTGCCCATGTAATTGTAACCCCTCTGTACAAATAAAAAATAAATAAATTTTTTTAAAAAAAACAATTTATACAACATAATTAAACAAATGTTCTTTTAGTTAAAAATATACCACAGAAAGTAAGATCTAATATTTGGGAATGTCTCAATTATCTTGGGTAAGACTTTTTTTTTTCTTTTTTCTTTTGGCCAGTCCTGGGGCTTGAACTCAGGGCCTGGGCACTGTCCCTTAACTTCTTTTGCTCAAGACTAGCACTTGACCACTTGAGCAACAGTGCCACTTCCAGCTTTTTCTGTTTATGCAGTACTAAGGAATCAAACCCAGGGCTTCATGCAAGCACTACCACTAAGCCACATTCCCAGCCCAGTAAAACTATTCCTAAAAGACATATAAATTTGGACAGAAGGTTCCACACAAGCATGAGGAGAACCAAGACATTTTCTTTCTGAAGGACTCATTTGAACAGCCAGACAAGACAAATGTGTTTGCTCAGCTTCCTTTCTTCCAGTCAGTTTTTTGCCAGTGTATTTTGGTAATGAAGTGTTTGTAGACTTTTCTGCATAGACCAACTTCAAACTGTGATGTTCTGGATCTCAGCCTCCTAAACAACTAGGATTTTATTTTCAATTAGAAAAGTTACAAGCCAACAAATGAAGATTCTCACAATACTGCTCACTTTTTTTTCATATAAAGAGAAAATTTCCTTATTAAAAGTAACAATTAGGAAATGCTCAGTTATTATTTAGCTTATTATTTTGAAGTTCATTCTGCATATTTTCAAAAACTTCATTTTATTTATTTAATATACTTTATTGTTATTGCAGAGGTGAGGTATAGAGGGGCTACAGTCAGGTAATGAGTAGAATTCTTTTTGAGCCATGTTTCCCCTTCCCTCACTCTCTCCCAGTTCTTCTCTCCAGACTCTACCTACAAAATATATTGTACATTTTCCACATAGTGTCTAGTGAGTACCCCTGTTGTTCAACTTTTGTTCCATCTTTTCTATGCCCCTCTCTTACCGTCCCAAAGACAAATGTACTAAAACAAACAAGACAAAAGGCAAAGACAACAAAAACAGCAACAACAAAAATCTTGTTTCCTTTTCTCGGAGTTCATTTTGTAAAATATTATTTTATATGATCACGTGCACATATTATCATATAAAATATTGAGGCTTTGACAAAACTGCTTTCAGTTTCTCTTATTTGTCTGGAATCTTATTCATTTTTCATTATTGTCTACCTTACCACTCACATAAACAATTTTTTTAAAAAGCTAGGCACTGTGGCATATGCCAGAAAACCCAGCCCTAGGAAGGCCTCAGGAGTTCAAGGATAGCCTGGGCTACATAGTGAGATCCTATCACAAAAAACAAAAAAATGAAATTCAAAACCAAACCAAAAGTAAATGCTGTGCATTTAAGTTTGCCCACAGAGCTACATACTCACCTTTAGATAATTCAAGACACCAATGTTTTTCATCCGGTCAGCAAAGGTATTGAAAGTCTCCACATTGCTTTTGGGATGATAAAATAGAATTTCACTTCCAAGCTTCCAAATAATCTGTCAAAGCACAAATTACTACCAAAATATAAAGATTTTGCCTTATACAATTTCTGCCTGTAATTTTTTTTTCTGATTACAACATGTAAAAACAACCTAGAATTCCCTTTTCAGTATACTGAAAGATACTTTTCAATATACTGAAAGTATCTTATTCCACTTTACCCAGTAAAGTTAGTACTACATATTAGGTGATAGACTTTTCACTCATTTAAATTACTAGGAAAGTATAACAGTACTATTATTAATTTCATAGGCTAAATAAGCAGTTAAGATATTAATATATTACATGTTTCATATATTTAGCTGTACTTTAAATGAGAATTTTATGTATTTAGTACATATTAAACATATTTAATAATATTTAATATACTTTAAATATACAAATTTACTAGCATAGGAAGAGTAAGTCAGAATAGGTTCTGCTGCAGTCAGCAGTTAACCTTGTATTCAGATTTTTGTTTCACCCCATTAGATATAATGTTTGCTATGTTAGTAAAAGCTATCTGAGATAGTTTAAGTGAAATTATCTATGGATAAATTGTCTTTTCTGAGCAAGTTTAACTGTACATGCTAGGTATTTTTTCACCCCTGCCCTCTGAAATGGACTTTCTGTTTGGACTTGTAGACAGTTAACAAGAACCAATGATTAAGTTGGCATACATTATGGAAAAAGATATGGAGTTGAGGAGTACTGTCCAAACACAGAGATAAGGGAGTAAGAAATATACATCACCACTGTAAAATAAGATAGAATTCAGAGACCTTGCTGAACAGGTGCTCACAGGAGGGTGGCCAAAGTGATAGCCAAAGACAGACCCTTCCCAGGAAAGGTAATAGATAAGGCAAAGCACCCAGGTAGGCACTCCTGCCCTATCCTAGTAAGAGAAAAGCCAATGAGGCTGGAGAAGAAAAGCCAGAAACACTCAGGAATCTGCTTTTCTTCCAGCAAACTCACACTATTTACCTCAGGTGCAGCCTGTCTTTTGTGGCTGTCTAAATCTTCCAAGATCTGCAAATAACTGTGCATGAACTCTGCAGCTCGCTGCCACTGGTGCTTCAGCAGAGCTTCTTGGATAAAACTTAAACAAGCACTTGTTGTCTGAGCAAAATCCTTCTTCTTTTTCCCTCCAGTCACTATGAAGATAAAAGAGCCTTTTACCAACCATGACTCCTATCAAGCTATTCAAAAAAGCTTACTTCTGCTAAGTACAAGTTTTAATATGGAGAACAGTAGGTATTACTTGACCTAGCCCATCGCCAGTATCAAAGCTAGTCTCATTTCAAACAATCTCTGCCATACTATATTATTTTTAGTGAATAAAAGATATCCAAGTTGGTACGGTGGTACAACCCTGTACACTGGAAGGCTGAGACAGGAGTATCACGAGTTTGAGACCAGATTGAGCTATAAAGTGAGAAGCTGTCTCAAAAACCAAGTAAGAGGTAGGTATAAATTTATTTTGATTCAATCACCATTTTCTCTCCCCACTAAGATACTTGGGGGAAATCTTTCAAAGAGGTTCTCTAAAGAATAAGCCCCACTACTCAGGAGGCTAAGATCTGGGGATCATGGTTCAAAGCCAGCCCGGGTAAGAAAGTCGATCAGACTCTTCTCTCCAATAAACTACTCAGAAAATGCCGGAAGTGGCATTACGGCTCAAGTAGTAGAGTGCTAGCCTTGAGCACAAAGAAGCTCAGAGATAGCACCCAGGCCCTGAGTTCAAGGCCCCAGAACTTGCAATAATAATGATGATGATGATGATGAATAAGACTCAATATTTTAGATATTTTAGGTGGGTATAAAAAAATCCTCAAGGTCATCCTAGGCAAGCCTGGCCTAGGTTACCTAACACTGTTTTGAAAACTTCAGGCCAGCTTCCATTTTTTTAAGGACCAAATTCTCAGTAACTCAGTGGCTGACATATTAACTGCATGTAAAATTAAAACAGTTATAGACATCAGCATTTTATCTCTATAAAATATGGACAATGCTCACATTAAGGCAGGTATTAGGGCTTATTTACAGCTCTATTATGTGAGTGAGGGGCTCCACTGTTATCTTCTCTTCTTTCTACCACAACCACCAGGTCCTGGGCTCAGACTTCCAGCTATGTATCCTTATGCTAGGCACCAATAGGTACCCTTCAAAGATACTTTTAAACACCCTGAAGGTTTTCTACTTTCTACATACTGCTTCCTAAAATTTGTCTTCTAGAGAATTGTGCCTATAGCCAAAACTTTATAACTGAAATCTACATATTGTCTACATGTACAAAGACAACAAGTGTTGAAAGATTCTAAAATCTTCGTTTGCAATTGATTTTCAATTCGTTGCTCATCAAAACTGCAGAAATACCTAATTTTTTTTTGGGGGGGGGGTCCAGTTGTGGGGCCTGAACTCTGGGCCTGGGCGCTGTCCCTCAGCTCTTCAGCTCAAGGCTAGCGCTCTACCACTTGAGCCACAGCGCCACTTCCGGCTTTTTTCTTTTTGCGTATGTGGTGCTGAAGAATCGAACCCAGGGCCTCAGGCATGCAAGGCAAGTGCTCTACCACTGAGCCACCTTCCCATCCCCTAATCATTTTAAAATAGATCATTATGTAACTTTTCCCACAAATTAGGAGTCAAAGACCTAAAACACTTCCATCTAATTCCTCATTCCTAAGGTAATGCACTTCAGAATTTACATCTCTTAAAACAGAATTTAAGAGCTTACATGGTAATTTGTTAAGCATGCGCAAGTTCCTGAGCTCAAACCCCAGTACCTCCTCCAAAGAAAATCCAAAAACGATGCTAAATCTTTTCTCATTCTAGAAGTATATTAACAGTCCAGGTAAGCCAGCCATAGTGCCAGATGTGTATAATCCCAGCACCCAGAAGGATGAGGCAGGAGGATCCCAAGTTCAAGACCAGCCTGGGCTACCTGGTGAAACTTTGTCTTGTTATCATCGTAGCTGCTCAGGAAGCTAAGATCTGAGGACTGTGATTCAAAGCCAGCCCAGGCAGGAAAATCCATGAGACTCTTATCTCCAATTAACCACCAGAAAATCAAAAGTGGCACTGTGGCTCAAGCTTTGAGTTGAATAGCTCAGGGATAGTGCCCATGCCCAGAGTTCAAGCCCCATGACAGACAAAAAAAAAAAAAAAAAGTAATATATAATAGTCATTACAAAAAAGTGATACAAGGTTCTCCACTCCTGGCTTGGGCTTGCTAGGCAAGTATTCTACCACTTGAACCAGATTTCTTGCTTTTCTGTCCTTAAGTTACTTTTCAGATAGGGTCTTGTGATTTATTTTGCACAGGCCAGCTTCAGACTGAGATCTTCCTACCTATACCTCCCACATAGCTGGGATTAAAGGTGGGTACTATCGTACTCAACTTACCTGTTGAGTAGGGTTTTGCTAACTTTTGCCTGGGCTGGCCTCAAACCATGATCCTCCTGATCTCTAGTCTCCCAAGTAGACAGTATTACTGTGCCCAGCTAAAATTTACATAAAATTTTCTTTGACTTTGGTCACCTGTGTAGACTTATTAGATATAACCATGGATCAACTTAGAAGAAATTTTAGTATTTAAAACTTATAGGATGCTTCATTGGTGTGGTAAGCCATGCCTGTCATATCAACGACTTGGGAGGCAGACATATAAGAACTGTGGTTTGAGGCCAACCAGGACAAAAAAAGTTAACCAGCTATTTAGATTTCACTATATGTCTTTCTAAAGTAATATAATTTCATTTTAAAATTCTACCAAATGCTAAAAACTGTACATGGCACTTTAAAACTGTATAAGAAAGCACACAATTTGGGGTAAAAATGAACTAGAAGATATATAAGCAAATAAGACACTAGAGATGAAACATGCTCAGTAAACACTGCCAAAATATACATGGATCCACTATAGTGCTGGCTGTTTTATTTCTGATATTAATTCAAAGCCAAAGGTTTCAGAAAAAAAAATCAACTTCTTACGATTTCATTTTTACTGACAACCTAAAAAGAAAGACTCACTGAACATTACTATTTTGAAAAAAAAAGCAGCATGGGTCATTCACTTTGTATCCATGTTGAATCTTACCATTTCCTTGCATTAAAATGGTTCTATTGTTTCACTTACCTACAGTTTCTAATTTGTTTTGAAGCCAAGGAAAATGCATTCCTGCACTAGAGACAACTGAAGTTTCCATCTCGTCATCATCTTCTGTTGCAGGCCTTGTCAATTCTTCACTGCAATCACTCATATCTGCTCCAAACTGAGATCATAGGTTCCTTTTTACCACATTTTAAACCATAGGCTTCTGAGTTGTCCAGAAAAAGTGACCTTTTCATCTAAGACATATCATGTGACCAGCAAAATCATTGTGCCTGACAGCTTTTTAAAAAAAATTTTGTGGGGCTTGAACTCAGAGTCTGGGCGCTATCCCTGAGATTCTTTGTGCTCAAAGTTAGTGCTCTACCTCTGGGCCACAGCTCCACTTCCCACTTTTCCTGAGTAGTTTATTAGAGATAAAGAGTCTCATGGACTTTCCTGCCCAGGCTGGCTTCAAACCACCACCCTCAGATCTGAGCCTCCTGAGTAGCTAGGATTATAGGGGTGAGCCAGACAGCCAGCCTTACAACATTTTTAAATTTAAAAAATGAATTTAAGGTCAGCAACAGCCAAAATCATTCACCCATTTTTATTTTTATTCACCCATTTTTAAAGGCAACTAACTAATACAAACACAAAGCTAAGTAAAAACCCTTAATTAAAAAGCAAAAGCCTCAGAAGAGGGGCCGGGCCTGTAATTCTAGCTATTAAGGAGGCTGAAACCTGAGAGAGTTTTGAAAACAGGCAGGAAAGCCTGTGAGACTATTATTTCCAATTATCCACCAAAAAGCTGGAAATGGAGCTCAAGTTGGTAGTAACTGCTTTGAGTGAAAAAACTAAGGGACAGTGCCCAAGACCTGAGTTCAAGACCCAGTACCAACACATACACACACACACACACAAATACACACACACAGAGTGCCCAAGACCTGAGTTCAAGACCCAGTACCAGCACACACACACACACCATACCTCAAATATAGAGAAATAGCAAATTGTATAACAAGAATAATCAGAATAGTAGTAGCTGCTACTATTTATTAGACCCTTCCTATAAAGCTGGTGTACTGATTAGCTAATTTAATCATCACATCAATCCTGAGGTAAGAACTATTGTTTTCATTGATGCTAATGTTGAAAAAAAAAACAGACTTAAAGGATGTCAAGTTTTCGAAGGTCTCTCTCTCTCTCTCTCACACACACACACACACACACACACACACACAAAGGTGAGGACAAGAGTGGAGGGACAGCGAGAGCACCACCTTACAGGCTTGACCAGAATAAAGCGGAATGACTGTCGGTGGGAAAGGAACCCGCCAAGCCCACCCTGAGTGTAAGCGCCGAATCCACCCTCCAGATGGCTCAGCGTCCCTCACCCCGGGACTCCCCTCTCCCCACAATAAATCGAGTGACACTTCAGATTCTCCTCGATTCCTTCCCCATGTTCCGCCTTGCTGCAGAGCTGCGAGCAGGACCCCAGTTCGGAGCCGTCTCCAAACTGCCTGGATGCGCTCCTCAGCTTTCTTAGTTTTAGCCCCAACTTCTGCCGGGCTAACACCTCTCCAGATCGAATTTGGTGGCTAAACCAGTGCGTCTGAGGAGTCGTAAGCCTCACACACAAAACCTTTCCTTCCTGAATCCCCAGGCCCAGCCGGTCGGCTTTGTCTCCCGCGGTTGCCAGGGTAACCACGCTTCGCCACCACGCTTGGCCGTTTGGGGAACCCCGAGGTTTTAGCACCGTGGGAGAAAGTATCTGCGGGCAAACACGGTGGCTCGTACACACCTCTTCTGGGTCCTCTGTAATCTCAGCGATCAGGAACGGACGCGCGGCACTTACCTTCCTAACACCCGGGGTAGCGCCAAGCCCCGACGACGTCTCCCGCCTCCGGAACAGCGTGTAGGAACTCCCGCCGGAAGTAGGGTCCGCAAACTTTGGCTTCGCCGGAAGTGGAGTGCTCTATTTAGCGTTCTCTGTGGGCATGCGCACAGCCTGCCGTGGGCGTTCTAGCGGCGCGCAGACGTAGCCCCGCCAATAGCGCCGCGTGAACACTCCAGCCCGGAAGTGATCGTGATGTGGTGACTTCTACCTCCTTTGCGTTGGTTTCTGTCTTGGATTTCCACCCTTCTCAGTGGAACACTTCCATTGCAAATGGAGTGTGCGCCCAGGGGATGATGGCCCAGCGAAGGTATCAAGTATCCAGAGGCCGCACGGGTTCCCTTCTGCTTGCAGACAAGCTACACAAACGGACGAGGGCTGTGCCTGGTGACAGGAAAAACCCACATACATCCTCTTGTTTCCTTGAAATTTCTGTTTTTAGCTTTCGATGTACGTGACTTACTGCCTTCACAATTTGGTCAAGAGTCTTTTACCTTCTGAACAGGGATCCTCATGTAGTCAACTTTCAAGAGGGTCATTGACCACCATCTAGGAAAAACAAGCTCGAAAGTAGGATGATTAAATCAAAATGAAGGGCAAGGCCTCTTGAGTCAGAGGTGCAGTACAATATGCTGGGAGAGCCAGACTATCAGAAAAGAACCAGCCGTAAGCGAGTGAAAGTTAAAGGGAGGCATGTTAAAGTCATCGCAAGAAAGAATTTTATTCATAACAAAAGCTGCACAGATAATGGCATAGACCCCACCACAAGTCTCTGAATTTTCCCTAACCATGAACCACTTGAGAATCTGAGTATTAAAGATTAAGGTCCAGTATCTAGATTTCTTTAAGTGCCACAAATAATTGATGCTGTTTACTTCATAAACAATATACGATCATTGGCTTGAAAGGAAAGGTCTTTCTGCTGATCTTAGTGTAATTAGTTCTCACCTTCTACCTGTGCTCTAATTCTGCAGGCTAGACTAACCTAAATGACATGATAAAGGAGGGAAGACACACACACAGACACAGAGTCATTAGCTCCTAAGCAATGGCTGGTTCTCTACCGTTTGAACCAAGCCTCCACCCTTTCTTTTTCTGCTGTTTAATTGGAGATGAAGTCTCACAGCATGTAACCCAGGCTGGCATTAAACTATGAACTATGATCCTCCAGATCTCAGCCTCCTGTGCATGTAGGATTAGAGACATGAGCCAATGCTACCTGACTTACTCTGGTTACATTTGAGATAAAGTCACCCAGTTTTTTGTTTTGTTCTGCTTTGCTTTTGCCGTCCTCCACCACCCCACTAGATTATGATCCTCCTACTTACACTTTCTGCCACAGCTGAGATGACAGATATGTACTACCATGCCCAACTTTTTCTGTTGAGATGGGAGATTGTGTGTGTGTGTGTGTGTGTGTGTGTGTGTGTGTGTGTGTGTGTGTGTCTGTCTGTCTGTCTGTCTGTCTGTCTGTCTTTCTGTCCTGGGGCTTGAACTTGGGGCCTGGCTTCTGTCTCTGAGCTTTTTTGCTCACAGCTAGTGCTCCACCACTTGCATCACATCTCTACTTCTGGCTTTAAAAAAAAAGTTAAATGGAGATGAGTCTTATGGACTTTCTTGTTCAGACTGGCTTTGCACCAAGAACCTCAAATCTCAGGCTCCTGAGGAGCTAGGATTACAGGCATGTAGCTACTGGCACCCAGCTTTGAGATGGGATTTAAAGAACTTTTTGCCCCCACCTCCAGCCTGGAACTGTGATCTTCTCAATCTGAGCCTCATATGTAGCTGGGATGACAGGCATATGTCACCATACCCAGCTACTAGTTGAGATGGGAGTCTCACAAAGTTTTTGCCTGGGCTGGTCACAACTGTTATCCTCCAAATCTCTGCTTCCTAGTTAGCTAGGATTTTAGGCATAAGGCAAAATAACCAGTTTAAAAATTACATTTCTGTAATTCCAGAAGCTGAGGGCTCATGCCTATATTACTAACTATACAGAGGGCTCAGATTTGATTAATGAAATTAGAAGCCAGTTAGGGCAGACAAATCTGAAAGACTCTTACCTCCAATTAACAATTAGAAAGCTGGAAGTGGAAGTGTAACTCAAGTGGTAGACCACCAGCCCTGAGTTCAAGCCCCAGTACCAGCACACCCAATAAAAAATTGCATTCCCTAGACATCCTCCAAATATGCTCACCAGGTTTTTTTTGGGGGGGGGTCCAGTCATGGGGCCTGAACTCTGGGCCTGCACGCTGTCCCTCAGCTATTCAGCTCAAGGCTAGCGCTCTACCACTTGAGCACCACTTCCAGCTTTTTTCTTTTTGCTTATGTGTTGCTGAGGAATCGAACACAGGGCCTCATGCATGCAAGGCAAGCACTCTACCACTGAGCCACCTTCCCAGCCCTATTCACCAGGTTTTATTTGGTTTGAGTTTTTAATTTTTTATTTGTTTTTGTTTTTGTCAGTCCTGGAGCTTGAACTCAGGGCCAGGCAATATCCCTATGCTTCTCTTGCTTAAGGCTAGAATTCTGCTACTTAAGCCATAGCGCCACTTGTGGCTTTTTCTGTCTATGTGGTACTGCGGAATCGAACCCAGGGCTTCATACGTGCTAGGCAAACACTCTATCACTAAGCCACATTCCTAGCCCTCATGAGTTGTTTATAACCTTTGACAAAATACAGTACCAAGGTTTTTTGGTGTTGCATACTCACTTTCTACAGGAAAGAGGCATTTTTCTTGACAACTGAGTCACACAACCCATGCTAGACATTAAAATGGAAAAAAAAAACAATGTCTGTGTTTTTATTCTGCTGACTTTTAATTTGCAGTCTCGAGTCAGCAAACATGTTCTGTAAAGAGAAAGTAAATACTTTGGACTTTGGAGAGTATACAGTCTCTGTTGCAATTCCTCAATGATGCTACTGTAGCCCAAATAGCAGCTGAAAACAATATGTAAAAAGATGAACAGGTATTCTATGAAAACTTTGTTTATGACAGCAAGTGTTATTACTCGACATAGTGGTGTACACCTAGAGTCTCGGCTACTTAGAAATCAGAGGCAGGGAGTATCCTTGAGCCCAGGAATTTGGGGCAACATGAAAAGCCACTATGTCTTACAAAAGGAAAAAAAGTAGTCTTCTGCCATGTGAGAAACAGCTATCTATGAGTAGGCCTCCTTAGCACCAATCTGCTGGCATCTTGCTCTTTGATTTTCCAGCCCCCAGAACTTGATTGTTACAGCAACCTGGGGGAACTAAGACATTTCAGGAGGTAAGGTGGGGGGTGACTCAGTGGCAGAGTGCTTGTTTAGCATTTGTGAGGCCCTGGGTTTGATCTCTAGGACTAGGGAGATATATATAAAAGACATTCTAGATGAAAAGATATGCTAGATCCCCAAGGGCTTACTTTTGGGTGAGCAAACAAATCAAGGGAGATTGATAGTTCTTGTTCTTTCCTGCTAATAACTCTCATAGCCTCACAGATTCTCCTGCTTATTACATTTACTTCCTCACAGATCACTGTTGAAGGCAGTCTGTGCTGTCTGGTTACTCTTTATGATATTGCTTAGGGCATAGATCCTCATGTTAATGCTGGAGAAGAGAAAGGTTTAATTTCTTTTGCACTCTCTTTAGTTGGCTTGCAGAAGCCACCTTCTAGTGATCATCTTCCCACTATTCAAGGACACAATGGAAATGTTGTATGGGTATGGTTTTAATCTTCCATGACAGCTATGCAAAGGAATCTGTTGCTAAAAAATGGCTGCCTTATGGGTGAAAGGAAACTTCTCCATCCCATTTGCTTTTGGCTAATGCAGAAGAACATACTTTTATATTGCAAGTAAGTTTTGGATTCTTTGGTTTTGAATATATGTGCACATTTTTTGTTTCAGGATGTACCTAAAACATGGCAGCCCAGTTAAAATGTGAGGGATTACAATGCAGTTCTCACAAAGGATATATGCCAGAGTGAAGAAATGGCTTATTCCTTACAAAAGACTTTGATGCTCTTCTTTTGGGCTCCATCAAAGACATTTTGTCCCAATTTGGAAGGGAAATGGTTACCCTATAAACATCATCAATACTTTAAAAAATGAATTATTATCTACCATCCCCAAATAGAAGTTATCCTGGAGCTTACCTGAACTCTGCTTGCTTTGGTGTGGTATCATAGGAATGGGCCATCTGCAAATCCTGTAGGTATGTGCACAGGCCATGGTAATGGTCCTCTGGCAATAGTGCTGAAAATCTGTCATTGATGGCCTGTACAAGGCTCCCCCTTCCTTCTGATTATCTATTAACTATGTAAAACACTGAAAAATCACAGAAGAAATTAATACTTTTTATATTGATTGCAAGCTGGTAGCTTTTTTGATATTCCTGAGTTAAGTAAAAATACATCAGTAAAAAGTAGGTTCATTTGTTGCACTTTTAAAAAATGTGTCATCTAGAAAATTTAAATTATATTTATAGCTGATATTATATTTCTATTGGACAGCATGGTTTAATAAATCAACAAGAAAGAGGAGGGAAAGGCCAGGTGATGTTTAAAAGCTCTGCTTAATTTGGGTTTGATTCTCTCACATATTCTGCGCTATCACATACCACATAAATTCAGATTGGAATGGCTTTTCATATTACATAGAACTCTTATTTTTCCTGGCTATAATAACTTCGCATGAAATTTTATTCATTGACCATATATTGCCTATAGCAGCCTAAGATTTCCTTACTTAAACCACATAACTGAGCAATGCTTTCCTATTATCTAATATTATAGGTTTTAATTTGGCCTTTTTTATTATTGAGGAATTTTGTGACTCAATGGCTAGTCATACAGTTAGATCTCTGATTCCTGTTTCATTTGTTGCGCTTCATTTCCATTCTCCACTGTTGTTCTGATAAGGGGGTAATTCATATCTGAACTAAATTCATATCTGAGCTAAACAGCCTGCACTGCAGAAATTGAGCTGTACAGGACATATCCTGAAATCTGTTCTGCATTTGTTTCAAAACATCAAATATTTAAGTTCTGTGAAAGCAGGG